CTTTTGCGAGCGTTTCTTTCGGGGGAGCATACAAAACAGCTCATTTTCGTGTCTGCAATCGAAAAGAGTTCATCAAAACCGTGGATTTTGTAGCCCGATTTATCAGCCATAAAACTGCAGTGTTTTCAAAATGTATATTCTATTACTCTTAACTCTATCTGAAAAAATAACCGGTTATTCGAAAATAACCGGTTATTCGAAAATAACCGGTTATTCCAAAATAACCGGTTAGTTTGAAATAACCGGTTAAAAAATAATAACCGATAACCAGTAGAAAAACGGTTAATTTCATTAACCGTTAACCGGTTTTAAAATCCAGTAACCGCCCAGCCCTAAAGGTAGGTACGCCAAGCGTGGATTGGAGGAACAGGCAGCGAGACATCGCGAAGCCTGTTACGACAAGACGCGGTCTGGCGTAAACCTACCTTGTTTTCGTTATCAGCGCCCTCCAGGGATCCTTAACTTACCTCATAAGGGCAATGTTATTACCCTTAACTCCTAACATCTTTTCAAAAGGGAGGATATATTTTTATGTCTCGAATTTGTGTAGATATACTTTTGCAAGTACTTTCATAAGTCCGTACCCTTAGCCTTTAGCGAACATTGCACAGGTATGCCAGGCGCGGATTGGAGGAACAGGCAGCGACACATCGCGAAGCCTGTTACGACAAGACGCGGTCTGGCGTAAACCTACCTTGTTATGAAAATAACCCATTCAACTAGTCAACATTATGCTGGGCTTCTGGTTTGTGTTGTGTAGGTAATGTCGCAACAGGCAGAGTGGCTAAGGTCATCTGGTTCCCTGGAGCTTTAAGTAGGGCTGTGCGGTGATTCGATTTTGAAAACGGTGACGGTGATTTGAATCACCGCCGGTTGCCCCGGTGAACGGTGACCAAAACTGCACCGGTGATTTTCGCATCACCGGTGAATTTTTCATCACCGGTGATAAAAAAATGAACGGTGATGCACAAATCACCGCTGTTTTCGTTCCCAATGGTTGTAAAAACCCGTTTTTTTGTTAAGTACAGTCAAAAAGGCACGCACACCGCCGTTCTATGTCAACTTATTGTCTGTTTTGGACACTCTCGCCGCGCGCGACGACCGCCACCGCTATTTCGGACTTTTCTGGAAGCTCGGTTTTGACGTTGATTGGTGATTGGTGACTAACCGGTGTTAGGTGGTTAACCGGTGATCGGTGACGAACCGGTGATTTTTAAAAAGCAGTTAACCGGTGATTTTAAAAACAAGATTCGGTGATGCGGTGATTGAAATCACCGAAAAAATCACCGGTTTACCGCATCACCGCACAGCCCTAGCTTTAAGGCTCTTTTGGATGAATGTGGACATCATCGACCAAAACTTCGATGCCTTCAAACCCCGATTCAAACATGGCGTCAGATTTCTACTGTATTGAAGACCAAAGGTACAAACTTTGATGCAGGACAATGTCGAGGGAAGTTTAGAAATTTGAAACGAACATTCACCAACGTAAAAGCTGGTATATGGGTTGCCAAAAAGAAATGGGAACATACTGATCAAGCTGATCAAGGCAATCTACTTGGTAAAGACGCTCAGCCTGTTGATGCCAAACGACTTGCCAAGGCAATCAACTTGATCAAAGCAATTAAGTTGTTGAAGACGACCAATTTGGACAAGGCGATCAATTAAATTCAGGTTACCGTCAATATGGTATCATTGGCTGAGCGATAGCGAAGCCTGTTACTCCAGAGGGGTTGAAAAGTTTCGTTTGTCTGTCCGTCTGTCTGTCCGCACTACTCCTCCTGAACGGCTCGGCCGATCCCGGTGCGATTTTGCACACTTATTAGGCATGTCCTTGGCTCGGCACACGCAAAATTTCACCGTCGTAGCTCAACTGGTTCAGTTTTAATAGCCGAAAAACACCTAAAAACGGCGAAAAATCGAGCTTTCTGCAGGCACATGCCTTCTGTCTTGGAAAAAAAGGGGGGGAGGTGTCTGGGGGCCCGGAGTGTAAGGTTATGGCGTGTCACGTTCAATTGAATGTGTACGCCAGACCGTGTCTTGTCGTAACAGTCTTCGCGATGCTGCGCCAGTTTCAACAGTCCACGCTTGGCCTGCGGCGCTAGCCTGCTTTCGGCACGAAATGGCTTGTCCATCGTCGGCTACTTCTAATTTAGTGCATGCCCTAGACCCCCTTCATTCCAGATAGAGCTGTACCGTCAAAAAAATTTCTTAACTTTTACGTCTGAAGTATTAATCTGAACGAAATAAACTTGATTGGAGTTGTGATCTGTTCGGTTTCAACGCGTCTTGCCGTCTTGTCTTCCGCTCTGTTTTGCTTCTGCTCTTTTCTTTAATTTGCGAGGAGGATGTGCGTGCACCGACCGCTTTAAGTAACCCTTTCCCTATGAAATGAAGAGGCCACGTACAATTAAGAATAACAAATAAACTGAACTTTGACAAAAAAAGTTAGAAATTGTTTTCACGCACCCCATTAAATATTAGAAGCGAGGGGTGCCCCACTGTAAAATTTGGTGTACAATGATTGTGTGAATGTGCAAGAATGTGCAAGATTTCTGGCATTTTTGCCACACATGTTGCCTACTTACAGGCGTTTCCCCCTCCTGAATGTGGAATGTGGTCAATTTTTGTACAACGAATGTGGGAAGCTGTTCCCCCCTCGATTAGAAGTATCGCCGGTAGCGTTCATTGTCATTACATTATACAGGTAAGTTGACATACGTAGTTTCAACTATTCGGATGCGAACATACGTAAACCAGTCAATCAAGCAAAAACACAAATGATCAATTTTGATGAGGTATCATATCCAACCAAAATCATGACATGTGCTTCTACGTAAATTATTTCCCCCAAAAAATCTACATACATTTATCTTTTTAAATTCTCGCTCCAAAAGGCGAATTTTTAAAAACAGTGCGGGGGTGATTCCGTGCGTAGAGGGTCATTTTGGATGTATCAAATGTTCTTTTTTAAAGTTCAACTTTAGGGGCTATATTTGGTGTAGATGGCATACATAGTACCCCACAGTATCCCTCCGAGCGTGGCAGCGCTACAAGTTGACTTTTAATTTCATCCCCTATGAAATACGGCGGAATTTACAGAAATTATGACGGAATTTACAGATTACGGAATTTACAAAGCAAAGTTTTTAGTCTCCTGACCCGCTGGGTTACAAGATAGGTGAAAACTGTTGACGGTGTCATTTTGAGCATCCAAAATAGCGTTTGTTAGCGGAGGTTGTGGGAACTTTCTCCCTTAGATGGAGGAGCTACGGCCCGAAACGGAATTGACAACTATTTATACACCCTTACCGTTTTGAACAATTCTGACGGCCTCGAAGCGTCGTTTGACCGCCCCAGGTCCCGCGGGCACGGGCTTCTGGAAGCGTTTTTTATGTTCTTTCGATCCCAAGTGGTCGCGAGGTTCCAAAACGAAAAGAAACCCCAGTAGACCGTCATTTGTGTAAGCAGCATAGGTCACATGGTCACACGGTGGACATTTTCCCAAGGGCTGTTTCGGGTTCAACAAGTGATGATACAAAGGTCACCTTCAGTAATTTTGTGAGGAATAAGTCAGGGAAGAGAGTGAAATAGCCAGTTTTCTTTTGATGTGGCTGAGTCATATACTACAGCATGGCAATGTTGTCTTATAGGTGTTGATGACCATGACGGAACTTACAAAACGACACTTTAGCAGCTTACGACACCTTGATAAACAAAAGTTAAATAGACTAATCCACATGAGGACATGGTCTTCGTTTAGTAAAACAAATTTGAATTGCCCAAGCTACCAAATCAACCTCAGTTCAGGCGCAAGGCCCCGGTGACCTGAAATGACCCCCTACGCACGGAATCACCCGCGGTTCTCATGTTGGCAATATAAAGCATGTTCCTTTACCTCCCGAACGTCCGCCATTAATTACGAATCGTGTAACGGTCCCATGGTCCTGGGTCAGTGAAGAGGCGTTCCAGTAAAATCTATTTCAATCCGTGTCTTTTCAAAAGATACAAGGTAGGTTTACGCCAGACCGCGTCTTGTCGTAACAGGCTTCGCGATGTCTCGCTGCCTGTTCCTCCAAATCCACGCTTGGCGTACCTACCTTGGCCTGCGGCGCTAGCCTGCCTGCGGCAGGCAATGGCTTGTCCGTTGTCGGTTATTTTTTAAATTGTTGAATGCTGGGAGGCTCCGCCCCCTAGGCCCCCCTACATTCTAAATAGAGTCGTTTTATCTACAGATAACACGATCTTGACCCTTGTCACTTTTTAACTTGTCGAGGCTGGGGGGCTCCGCCCCCCAGACCCCCCTTTCTCCAAGACAGAAGTGGTCTATTTGCAGAAATCTCTAGTTTTCGCCGTTTTTTAGGTGTTTTTCGCCTATAAAAACTGAACCAGTTGAGCTAGGATGGTGAAATTTCGCGTGTGCCGAGCCAAGGACATACCCAAAAAGTGTGCAAAATCTCACCGAGATCGGCCGAGCCGTTCAGGAGGAGTAGTGCGGACAGACAGACAGACCGACAGACAGACAGACAGACAGACAGACAGACCGACAGACAGACAGAAGAAACTTTTCAACCCCACTGGAGTAACAGGCTTCGCTATCGCTCAGCCAATTAGACTATTTGTGACCACGATCATGTCGGATGCGGGGAAGCTAAAGCCATTGATTCCGCGACGCGTGACTGAATCTTCGCCGACGGAGAGAGGTTATAAATTATCACGAAGTGTCGATCGACACTTCTTTGTGGAAGGATTATAGAGATGTAAATTTTCCGAAAACTTTCAAAGGGTTGGAAAAAAAACGGAAAATTTGGAAAAAATGGAAAAATAGGAAAAATTAGTTTTTAAGCACTATGAACATGAAACCTACTACTTTTGTACTTTGTTGCAACTTAACTTGTACTGACAACCATAGATTCACAACAGCAAGCTCAAAAAACCGCACGAGAAGGAATCATAACAGGGTATAAGTAGTATGAGTGCACTGAGAATCGTGTTTACTTATGGATAAAGGTATGCTTTTAGCCTACTTTCGGCCGAAATGCCCGACTTTTTGCCTACTTTTCAGGCTGAATCTTTCCAATTTTTCCGAGGCCAGGGAAAAAAACGGAAAAAACACTGTTTTTTTTTTCAATGTTTCCGGAAACTTTCCGGGCATTTTCATCCCTGAAGGATTAGCTGTATTCTATCCCACGTCAGTCTATAAACCAGTGATTTTACAACCTTTTATCAATTTTGGTTCCTTTTTTGTCATTACAGTTGCTTCTGAGACAACTACTACGAGCGTAGATTCAGACTCAGCTACCTCGACTACGTCGGCAGAGAGTGTTAGTAGTCGCAAGAAAAGAAACGATGATTCCCTTCAAGAGGAACTAGACAAGAAGCCCAAGAAAACATCCAGAAAGAAAGTGCTACCGGTAAAGAGGTTGGTAGGGACGGGGTTGCGAAAGGGCTAGGAACTCAAGGTGTTTAGTTGTTCTTCAGAAGCGAGGGGGAAAAGCTTCCCACAATCGTTGTACAAAATTTGACCACATTCCACATTCAGGAGGCAAAAACGCCTGTAAGTAGGCAACATGTGTGGCAAAAAAGCAAGAAATCTTGCACATTCACACAATTATAGTACACAAAATTTTACAGTGGGTCACCCCTCGATCAGAAGACGGTTATGTCAATGGGATTTTCTTATTCACGGAAAAAAATATTTAGTCCAACCAAATTTTAGTTAGCCCTACAAATGCTTCGGTTGGTTTTGGCCCAACTAAGATGTTCCGTACCAGGAACGAAAATTTCGTCGGAAGAGCAGAAAAGTTTGTTGCCACAACGCCACAACAAATCTATCGTCGCAGCTGCAAATTGATTCGTTGCAGTAGCCGACTCCTAATTCGGTCGTGCCAACCAATGAATTTACTGCTGCAACGAACTTTCCGCTGTTCTAACAAATTTTTCGTTCTTCGAACGCAATAGACCATTCTAGTCGTGGCCGAGTGAAGAACAAGAAGAATCACAAAAGAGTACTTTTTTGCACTTTTACTTCAAACATTTAAGTCCCCTTGCTTGGTAGAAGTTAATAAAAATATTTTCAAGTAAATGCAACATATTTTGAGCGAACATTTGCACTTCAAATGCCCTAAATTGAGTCTTTTGTGATTCTTCTTGTTCTTCACTCAGCCACGACTAGAATGGTCTATTTTCGTTACTGGAACAAAAAATCTTAGTTCGGCCAAAAACCAACCGAAACATTGGTTGGACCAACTAATAATTTTTTCCGTGTTGATTTGTAGTTTGGAGTCAAGCCCAACCAAAACAATGAGACTGTCCGGAAAGCCGCTGCAGCTGCAGCCATTAGGTTGGCCGCTTTGTTGGAACAAGAAAAAAAAACAAAGAATCGAGCTCACTCCTGGAAAATGTAAAATGTAAGTGTCACCTTGCCTCCATTGCTAGACAACTGCTGTCAAAGAAAGTGGCTGCTGCCCCCTACCTACTTAATTGGCTGAGCGATAGCGAAGCCTGTTACTCCAGTGGGGTTGAAAAACTTTTTCTGTCTGTTTGTCTGTCTGTTTGTCTGTGTGTGTACACTACTCCTCCTGAACGGCTCGGCCGATCTGGCTGAGATTTTGCAAGCTCATTAGGTATGTTCTTGGCTCGGCACACGCAAAATTTCACTTTCCTAGCTCAACTGGTTCGGTTTTTATAGCCGCAAAACACCTAAAAAATGGCGATAAATCGAGTTTTCTGCAGGTAGATCCCTCCTGTCTTGATGAAAGGGGGGTCTGGGGGGCTGAGCCCCCCAACCTGACAAGTTGAAAAGTTACAAGGGTCAAGGTCGTGTAATTTGTAGATGAAGCAACTCTATATAGAGTGAAGGGGGGTCTGAGCCCCCCAGCATGCAACAAATCAGAAGTAACTGATGATGGGCAAGCAGTGCCTGCCGAAGGCAGGCTAGCGCCGCAGGCCAAGGTAGGTACGCCAGGCGCGGATTGGAGGAACAGGCCGCGAGACATCGCGAAGCCTGTTACGACAAGACGCGGTCTGGCGTAAACCTACCTTGAAATTGTTCTCCAGGGCTCGAATAGTGGTAATGGTGGGACTAGCCCTCCCTTCAACAGTACTGGGCACTCCACGGCTCTTAATCCTGAAGTCTTTACTTCGACCCCAAAGGAGCTCACTCCATACAAGGCGAAACTTACACGGGAAAATGAAATTCTGAAAGCAAAGCTGAAACTTCTGTCCGCCAAAATGAAGAATAAAGAATCAGGTACTTTTTCATCCTGCTTTGCTTATGTCAACAGTGTGAGTCGTACCAGGCTATTGTTTCATTTTTAAATTCTTACAGACAACATCCAATCCAGTACCGTAAACCGGGGTAACTTGAGACAATATTTCACGTTTTTTGGACCGTGTGTCCACAACACTTCTCTCACCAACCCGAATCCCAACTATGTTTAATTTCACATGATAACATTTGGTTTGGACCCCATGAAGTTTTTGGGGGTCACCTAAAATGAGAGGAAAGGTGATCCCACAATGGGGTTCGCGACCATTCGCGAACCTCAGGGTGATTGGACATTCGTGGATATATCGACCCAGTGGCGTTTAAAAGGTAATTGGTCTGAAGGCATGATACGTATTCGAGCTCCGTGACGGCATTTTTCGGCTCTGAAATGATTTTATTTCGATCGGAGAAGTAGCACGCTTACAGGTGGGAATTGGTAATCCTGGTGTTGGCTCGTGCAGAGGTGCATATTTGCTGTGTGCACACGGAAAGAAATATGAAGAAAGGTGCTAAGGGTGACCCTAACAAAGACGAAGCTTTGAAATCTTTTCGGAAAATGCTGTATGCAGAAAATGATGAAGACTTTCAACTGGGTTTGAAAGAGTTTATCAATATTGCTGGCAAACCCCTGAAAGATTATTTCATAAGCAATTGGTTGAACCTAAAAGAGTCCTGGTGCCTGAAAGACAGGGCCCTTGTCACCACACTGAAAATTCACTCACCCAATCACACAGAAAGTAAGAATCAGAAACTGAAATTGGTGTGTCTGAATTCATTGATGATTGAATAGAAATAAGTAATAGTTAATAACAGTTAGTTTCTGAAACCATGAACTAAAGCATTTGTACTTCTTTCTTGCATAATTTTTTTCAGGCTATGGATGCGAACACTCCTCTTTACGATGCAGTTGATATTCTAGTCAACACTGTACAAGGGAACCGGAAGGACAACTTGCGGTACAGAGATCACTTAGCTCTCGCCAAAGAGGTTTATGTGAATAATTGCTCTGACCCTTTGGTGCCCAAAGCCTGCAATCAGGGTGTAATAACATAACATTATCATTATACTCTACAATTCGAAGAGTGTACATGGTATGCTCTAACTGGAGCATGCCTGCAAGCACGCTCTAACTAGCGCATGCCTGCCAAGCATGCACTTACTAGCGCATACATGCCATGTACACGCTTCCTGATGCAGACAACTCCCTATCTCTTATGCACTAGATGCATGCTTCAGTTAGCGTGTACATGGCATGTATGCACTAGTTAGTGCATGCCTGGCAGGCATGCGCTAGCTAGAGCGTGCTTGCAGGCATGCTCCAGTTAGAGCATACCATGTACACTCTTCGATTTGTAGAGTAGTTAGCGTTAAGTTATTTGTTAAAAGTTTTAACTAGTAACCTTTAAGTGTTTGCTCGTCCTTTAACGTTATTCACTTCACTCATAAATTTTACGTTAATTTTTATCTGGTTATGTTTTATACCGAATTTAAGTTTATCAAATTACTTTTCGGTAAAAGAATAACGGTAATCCAGTTTCAGAGCAATTTATGTTAAAAGAATAGGGGTTTTTATTTGTAGCATTTTATTGTTTATTTTTAATCTTATGATATCGTGTCATAACGTTAATTAGTTGTAACTATTGATAGATGTACCAATATTAAATGTTAGGAACCATAACGATTATTAACGTTAATTCAGTGGAAGCCATTTCCCGTGCCGGCCGTGCCTCGCGACATGAGACGGGGGGTTTTATTGTGCCTAGGACCTACCTAGGACCCATGCAGGACCTAGTCAGACACACTGTTGTTGTGTACCTGACAAGCACAGTGTTCAGAACAGCGTGCCATGCACAATTGCGTTTGCAAAGTGCGGGGTGGCAATTACATTCTCGATTGTAACTGTAGCAATTAACGTTATTTGCGTGCCACGAAATCCACGAATGATTTTAGTTAAAATAATTAACGTTATTTGCTAACCTCGAATTTTGTGTTTAAGTCCACAATTGTTATGTGCACATTAACGTTATAAAATATTAACGTTATTTCTTCATAACTGTTATAAACCTTACCAACGTTTTACGACGTGGTTTTTTCGGTATAACCTATTATCGATAATTCAATATAACGTTAATGGCCGCCCTAAAGAATTAACGTTAATAAACTCAACATATTATAGTTGTGATACTAACATTAACTAACAAAATAAAAGTCATAGTAATAACGTTAATTCCTTAGTTAACGTTAAGGTAATGATAATGTAAAGTTTGCACACCCTGCCTGCAATGAGCTCACAGAGTTTCCTGCAAAGCAGCTTTGTGAGCAATTTCAGCTAGCTCAAAAGCCCTCACCTGTGTCCCAAAAGTATGATACATCTAGTGATAAATGCAGTTGCATTTATTTCAAAACAATGTCTTTGACTTGCAGACACATAATGAGGCTTCGGAAGTCAGCTGGTAAGTTGTATTGGATCTGTTTGTTTTCGGTTGTTGACCTACAGTGTCAGGTTTTGCTCATGTGATTTCCCCCCCCCCCCCCTGCTTGTACACTCTACAAACTGAAGTGTGTACTCAGTATGCATCTACAGATGCATACTTATAAGTACACACCTACAGATGCATACCTAGCTGAGTACACATCTACAGATGCATACCTGTTAAGTATGCATCTGTAGGTGCATACTTGGCAAGTATGTATTAGTAGGTGTGTACTTGTCACCGTATAAATGCCCAGTATCAAGTACACATCTACAGATGCATACTTGGCTGAGTACACATCTACAGATGCATACCTGCCAAGTATGCATCTGTAGATGTGTACTCAGCTTGGTATGCATCTGTAAGTGTGTACTTATAAGTATGCACCTGTAGATGCATACTGAGTACACACTTCAGTTTGTAGAGCAGGTTTGAGTTGGTATTCCAAGGATATTATTCCTACAAGGTGGCATAAGGAATATAATATGGGATGGTGGAAACAACATGATAGCCTCAGCACAGACACACTGACAATCCAACCAAGAATGCCTGGTAAATCTGTCAAAAAAATTCTGGCACCTGCTGAAAAGTTTCACGAGGTGGCTCCCACTTTGAAAGATGTCCAGTCTCTTGTTGTAAACAATTCAGGGACCATGCAGTTCCACGAACGCCATCAACTTTTAAAAGATATTCATGAATCATGGGCGAAAGGAGAGACTGTGCAATTGGTCCATCTGTCTGGTCCAAACAAAGGTTAATGCGCAGGTTTTCTACATTATTCTTACTGTAATAAAAATAGATATTGAGAAGGGAACTCAATATTTAATGAGTTGCCTTTAACTACAAGGTAGGTTTACGCCAGACCGCGTCTTGTCGTATCAGGCTTCGCGATATGTCGCGGCCTGTTCCTCCAATCCGCGCCTGGCGTACCTACCTTGGCCTGCGGCGCTAGCCTGCCTTCGGCAGGCAATGGCTAGTCAATCGTCGGTTACTTCTACTTGTTGCATACTGGGGGGGCTCCGCCCCCCGGACCCCCTTTCATTCTAGATAGAGTTGCTTCATCTATAGATAACACGATCTTGATCCTTGTAACTTTTAAATTTGGCGGGGCTGGGCCCCCCCGACCTCCCTTCCTTCGAGGCAGAAGTAATCTGCCAGCAGAAAACTCGATTTTTCGCCGTTTTTTGGGTGTTTTTCGGCTATAAAAACTGAACCACGTGAGCTAGGATAGTGAAATTTCGCGTGTGCCGAGCCAAGAACATACCCAATAAGCCTGCAAAATCTCAGCCAGATCGGCCGAGCCGTTCAGGAGGAGTAGTGTACACACACAGACACACAGACAGACAGACAGGAAAACTTTTCAACCGCACTGGAGTAACAGGCTTCGCTATCGCTCAGCCAATGAACTAACGGTTTCCTTCGTGTTTCAGCTTCAACAAGTGTTGAGCCCAGTGCTGAGAAAGGTGTGAGCATGTCATTAATTCCTTCTTTTCAACTTTTTTGGCTGAGCGATAGCGAAGCTTGTTACTCCAGTGCGGTTGAAAAGTTTTGTCTGTCTGTCCGTCTGTCTGTGTGTCTGTGTGTGTACACTACTACTCCTGAACGGCTCGGCCGATCTGGCTGAGATTATGCAGGCTTATTAGGTATGTTCTTGGCTCGGCACACGCGAAATTTCACCATCCTAGCTCAACTGGTTCAGTTTTATAGCCGAAAAACACCTAAAAACGGCGAAAAATCGAGTTTTCTGCAGGTAGATCACCTCTGTCTTGAAGAAAGGGGGGTCTGGGGGGCGGGGCCCCCCCGCTTCGACAAGTAAAAAAGTGACAAGGGTCAAGATCGTGTTATCTGTAGATGAAGCAACTCTATCTAGAATTAAGGGGGGTCTGGGGGGCCCAGCATGCAACACGTAAGAAGTAACCGACGATGGACAAGCCAATGCCTGCCGAAGGCAGGCTAGCGCCGCAGGCCAAGGTAGGTACGCCAGGCGCGGATTGGAGTAACAGGCCGCGAGACATCGCGAAGCCTGTTACGACAAGACGCGGTCTGGCGTAAACCTACCTTGTTTTAATGCAATATTTAATGTTGCACTATGTTGTGTTTATTTTTCAGAACCTTTTACTCTGAAAAGTGTAAAGACCACAGGGAGACCCAGGGGCTTACATGAGACAATACATGATGGGAGCAAAAAATCAAGTATGTACAAATTTACTGATATTGTTAATGAATAACTGCTACGTACATTACTGCACATTGAAATTTTTGTCTACTGTTGCAGGCACATTGAATAGAAAATCGAAGGCGCCGCTGAAGCAGCAACTCTTCTGTAGAACTAAACTTCGTAGTCTTGTCAAACAACATAAAGTTTGTTCCAGTTGTAAAAGAGAGGGAGGAAGCTACCAATGCACAGTATGTCAAGACTTTGTTCATGGTCTCCCGCCATGCTCTGTTCGTGACTCTCGAGAAAAGTTTTGTCTTGGGAAGGGTCGCCTCTGCAAGAGTTGTGCTAGTATGTCTTGGAGTTAAGGTTCATATACTTTTGTGTTTGATGTCCTCTCCAGCTTGTCCCATTTTTCTCTGTTTCAGATGATATGGATGCATCAGGAACAGATCAAGGTAGTTAAATCATGAATTACAGTAATGATATTTTTTCTTGGTTTGATTTGGATTTTGCTTGAGAGAGTTTTTTCTTGATACAGGCAATGATAATGCAGACTCTGTGGCAGAAACTTTGACAACAGCAGCCGATTCCAAGACCAAACAGGATAGTCTTTCTGCACAATCCAAAATCTGTTGCACTTGTTATCAAGAGGCTGGAAGTCATCAATGCACAATATGTCAAGAATCTGTTCATGCCATAGAGCCATGTTCTATTCGTGACCCTAACATTGAAGATAGTTTTGGAAAGGGTCGTATCTGCAAGAGTTGCGCTGGTATGTCTTGGTGTTGGGGCTCATACACTTTCTGTGTTTGATGTCATCTCCAGCTTGTCCCATTTTTCTCTGTGTTTGATGTCTTCTCCAGCTTGTCCCATATTTCTCTGTTTCAGATGATATGGATGCATCAGACACAGATAAAGGTAGTTGGTGTTGCGGCTCATCTACTTTTTGGCCCGTCCCGTTTATTTTTTGTAAAAAAAAATGACGGGGGGACGGGCATATAGTATGATGCATGCTGTGCGTCCGTTCGTTCGTCCGTTCGTTCGTCCGAGGACTTCCCGTGGTCCGATCTTGACCAAATTTGGTATGCAGCCTCCTTGGGTGACCCTAAGAACCGCCCGGTGGCAGCAAATCCGATCCGAGCCCCGGGGGCGCTGCTGCAGGTGCATCATGGTCTACATGGGGTCAAGGAGGATTTCGGCAACGGATACAGCTAGGAGGGCATGTAGGGGTATTTTAGGAATCGGGGCGACGAGACAAAACCAACGGTGCCAGTTTCAAGCGAATCGGAGAAGTTTGGACCCGGGTTCAAATCCCAGTGGGGTATATTTTGAACAGTCTTTTTATTCGAGTTTTTGCATTGTTTCTAATGTTTTTGAGGGAGCTGATGACGAAAATAACATCTATTTTGACCCCAGACTCAGGTTCAAACCCGTCAGGGTTGAACAAATGCGAAATTCGCACATTTGTTAATGTACGGGACGGGCCAAAGTTGCCGATGTATATCGCTACTTTTCCTGTTATTTGGTTTGATTTGGATTTTGCTTGAGAGAGTATTTTCTTGATACAGGCGGTGATAATGCAGATACTGAGGCAGAAACTTTGACAACAGCAGCAGATCCCACGACCGAACAGGATAGTCTTTATGAACAACCCAATATCTGTTGCACTTGTGATCAAGAGACTGGGAGCAATCGATGCACAATGTGTCAAGAATTTGTTCATTCCGTACAACCATGCTCTATTCGAAACCCCAACATTGAGGATGGTTTTGTAAAGGGTCGTATCTGCAAGAGTTGTGCTGGTATGTCTTAGAGTTAAGGTTCATATACTTTTGTGTTTGATGTCCTCTCCAGCTTGTCCCATTTTTCTCTGTTTCAGATGATATGGATGCATCAGGAACAGATCAAGCTAGTTAAATCATGAATTACAGTAATGATATTTTTTCTTGGTTTGATTTGGATTTTGCTTGAGAAAGTTTTTTCTTGATACAGGCAATGATAATGCAGACTCTGTGGCAGAAACTTTGACAACAGCAGCAGATCCCAAGACCAAACAGGATAGTCTTTCTGCACAATCCAAAATCTGTTGCACTTGTTATCAAGAGGCTGGGAGCCACAAATGCACAGAATGTGACAAATTTGTTCATGCTGTACGGCGATGCTCTGTCATTAACCCTACAGTCGAGGATGGTCTTGTCTGCAAGAGCTGCTATGGTATGTCTTGAGAGAATGTTGATCTAGCTTTCGTCTCAGTGTCTATTCCTTTGAGATACAGGATACAGTTTCCTCTTTTTCAGATGACATCATGAATTTGTCTTCCTCATCTGATGAAGAAGGTTCGTTGAAGCATTATTTTCAACTATGTGTTTTAAAATGAGATTTTGTTCTTTTCATGTTGCCCTGGATTTCCTAAGTTACTATCTCGTGTCACAAATCATAACATGTTCAAATATTTTATCAGGTGATGAAGATGAAGCAGCACAGCAGGAACAAGGAAATTGTCTTCAAAGTGTAAACCTTGGGCCTTTTGGGCACCTAAACCTAAGTCTAGGAAGGGTAATTCAGTTCAGGATAACACTTCTTACGTAGGTTAGTACTAATATGTTAATTTTTTAAAACTTGTTCCCTAACTTTTTTGGGCTTTTTCCTAATATTTTTTTTTTCAGGCTTCCATTTGGATAATGATGGTGATGACATCATTAGAAGTGCAGTAGAACCTGTCGCAGGTAATTTTTTATCCAAAGTTGTGTGGAAGATTCAACCCATAAGTTTTCTGATGGAGTTTTAGTGCATACTTGGAAAGCATATTGTGTTGTGAATTGTTACAGGTTACGTGAGAGTAACATAGCAGTCAATTTATAACTTTTTTTTTGTTATTTCAGCTATCAACCCAGTTTCAAGCATAAATCAATGTTGGTTGCAGACGGTTCTTGGGTGTCAGTTAATATCCTTTTTGACCCCGTGTATTTGAAAATGGTGGCTAGTGACTTTCAGGTATTACTTCGGTCTACAATAACTATGTTATCAAAACAATGCAAAAAATAATGTTGAGGATCTGTTTGCAACCAGATTGGTTTTATCTTGAAGGGAAGTGACTGTCCTCATAAGGACTTCAGACAGCCCTTTTAGGGGCTTGACATGGATGCGTAAGTTATGTGTACCTTTCAGGATCAACAACGCTGTATTTTATGGTGTGAGTGCCCAATCATAAATGCTTGAATACTTTTTTTTCTTATCATATAATTTGTCCTGCACATGCTTACTGTTTGTATAATTTATTGTTCATTTTAAAATCAAAGCGGATAGAAAGTGATCTAGTTTTAACTGATGTAACTGATGTAAGAGGAGAATTGAGCTTGCTGGGGTTTTTTCTAAACAAGTTTTTCTGCCCGCAAAGAGTCCATGCAAAAATTTGTTTCCAATATTGTATAGTGACATTTATTAACTCAGTTAGATCTGGTACATGCCATTTTCACCCACAGCTTACCTTCAGAACTCTTCAACGAACATCTCATTCCATTAAAATTCATTCAGCAGATATCTTTATTATAGAAACAGGCATGTTTCAACCAGTTTATTTGAGCTCTGTGATTGAAAAATTTTGACTTGTAATGGGTGGTGGTGTGATGTGCTCCTAACAATATTCTGTGTGGCAATATTCTTGTCTGCCTGTCTATTTCATAAGATTAATTGTGCTACAATATGGTTGTCTTGAAGTTCTTCCTTTGCTAGTCATGTGCTGTATTGATGTGTTTGAGTGAGCTTCGCATGTAACTGCACAGCTTATCTACATCCTACAAAACTTCTAAACTTGGAACCTGCAAGCTGTTTATAATCTGGCTTACTTTGTTTACAGAGTCAAGTCAACAAGGTGGTGAGATGGGAGCAAAGCAGAGGCAAGGGAGAAAGCGGACGCACCATGAATCAGAAGGTAACGTGTCCAACACAGCTGCAATTACAAATGCATGTATGAAGTCTACGGAGTCTATGTTTCATAACATCCTTGTTTTCTATTCTAATACAGATATTCTCACCTCTCAGAGTACAAGAAGTGGGCGAACTGTGATCCCTAAAAAGATCTTTACTCCCACCAAGTAACTAGTCATTAATTTAAAAATTAATGCAGTACAAGAGAATTTCTTTGTTTAAAATAAGTTACTTTTGAATATTTTAAAATAATTTTATGTTTTTGGAAGTGCTGGTTATGTATGATTCCTTTTAAAGGCTCCCTGACCCATACGTCAGTATTAGATGGCTTTAGTGTTTTTTAAGTACACGCTGACTTTATATATCATATTTTATGTGCATGACTTGGGAAGTACTTGTGTGTCCTTATTTTTTTCAGTATGATTTAAAAATTAATACAGCACAAGAGAATTTTTTTTAAAATATTTTTTGATATTTATGAATATTTTAAAATATTTTTATGGTTTCTGGAAGTGCTGGTCATGTGCATGCTTCCTTTTTAAGGCTCTCTGACCCATATGTCAGTATTGGATGGCTTTAGTCTATTTTAAGTTCATGTTGACTATTATATATCATATATCCATGTATATGACTTGATTATGAAGAAGTACTTGAGTGTCCTTATTTTTAGTGAGATGATAATTTTGAGTAAAACATTTATGACTGATCATTTCTGTTTTGTTTCTTTTCCTTACCAATTGGTCACTTTTACACTTACACTAAACACTTGACGCGTGGAGTTATACGGCATCAAGCATGCGTTTGGAACTGTGTACTTGCAAGCATGCATTTGTACGTGTGTACTTAGTAGACAGTTAGGTTTGCAGTGAATTTCCATTCATTGACATTTGAACGTATTTTGAAGTACTGTATTTGGTATTTTTTATGTCATCCAATGCCATTTTAAATATCCTATCTTTATGACAGTATTTGCGGTTTTAAGTCAAACATTTTTCAATTCAATAAATTTCCATAACGACATGGCGGTCTGTTCGCACCACTGGTGCAAATAACAATCGTACAACTATTCGCACCATGGTGCGAATAGTCATTACGTAATACGAAGCAATTCTACAATGCCTTCATTTTCTTTGTGTGGTTACGAAATGCTTCGTACTCTACAACTCCAAAAGCGTACATTGTATGCTCTACCTGGAGCATGCCTGCAAGCATGCACTTCCTAGTGCATACATGCCAAGTACACGCTCACTGAAGCATGCATCTAGTGCATAAGGGATAGGGAGTAGGGGGCCGTTCAAAAATGACGTCACACTTTTAAGGGGGGGAGGGGTCCAGAGAAATCGTGACCAAATGTGACATGGGGGAGAGGGGGATGAAGGCATTGTGACATCACACTTTTAAGTAGTGTAAAATTGCCAAATATGAACGGAGTGAGCCACTAAAAAATAAACTGAAATCAGCATTCCCCGCCTACTTCAGCTTAAATTGTCACTGGCTTGGGTATTTTAACTGCACTTTCCTCAGATTTTTCCGAACAAGTTAGCGTTAGACCAGATTCAACCGGATTTTCCAAGATGCAATCAAATTGTTAGAAAATTCCAATTTAGGCACCTAATTAAGACGATGTAGTTGCGTATCTATTCCCGTTGCCAAGAATAATGATTTGGACAATGTGACGTCACGGGGAGGGGAGGGGTGAGTCAAAATAGTTACCATTTGTGACTATAGGGGGGGAGGGGTCAAAAAATGAGCCTATAAAGCGTGACGTCACATTTGAACGGCCCCTAGTCTGCATCAGGAAGCGTGTACATGGCATTTATGAACTAGCAAGTGCGTGCTTGGCAGGCATGCGCTAGCTAGAGCGTACTTTCAGGCATGCTCCAGTCAAAACGTACAATGTACGCTTTTGGATTTGTAGAGTAGGCTTTTAAGAGTGTGTGGACGCCTGCCGACGCCTGTCATACGTATGTATTCGCCTTCTCATGGGCGCTATTATCACGTTCTTTTAACACGCATTTCGACTTCTTTTAAGACCGCGACGTCTTCTTATAACATTCTGGGCTGTCAAAAGAATGCCAAAACGATGTCGAAAGGTGGTGGGCGCCGCGCCGGAAAGGAAAGCAAGTCGCCGGAGCAAAGAGAATGGGGATGCGGGTCGGAGGCACGTGGCGATCCATGCGGACTGCGAAGCATGAGCGGAAGCGCTTGGCCACGACCGAGGCCACGCCTGGGAAGAAAGCCGGCGTCCCCGCGTCCGTATCTACTGACGTCGAATCAGGGGTCTTGCATACTCACTGATAGCAGACAAGGTGGGATAAGAAACGAATGGATAACAAATTCAGTTCAAGGGCACATGTATTGTGACAATGAGGTTCTCGAACAATGCAACTTCGAATAAGAGAAGTTAAATGAAACCGCATGTATTGGAAAAGTACAATTCAAGGCACTAGATAATTGAACAGCGAAACTTAAGTAATTGAAAAAAAAGTAATTCTCATGGTATCATTTTCAAGGTAATTTCTACAAACGCAATTAAAAGAAAATTACAATTCAAGGAACTCATCTACACATTAAAAACACAAATTTGCATGAGCGAGTAATCATACAGTGTAATGTCAAACAAAGTCAACTATCATAATTAAAATCTCGAACAGTAAATCAAAATACGACGAATGTGGAAATGGAGGTTCTGTTGCGAAGCAGGGCACACAAAGATAGCCTGCGATCGACGCCATTACTGCCCTCCTAAACGGCTAGAAAAGAGAAAAATTATCCAAACGGACGACCCCACCTAAAATTAAATCTAAGATGGGGTCATTATACCTTCGCATGACTTTCCTATCTCCAGCCGTTGACGAGATTCGGAAACAAGTTTGATTGCCACAGTATTAAATTAGCCCACCCTGAAATTCTTGACTATCTTAAAAATAGGAAATGAAACCAGTCTTTAAAGTATCAACACACAGACAGCACTCAGTGCAATGGACAAGTAAGCTGACAATTAAAAACGTTCTCGGAAAAAGGGAAGATACACTATCATAAAAATAGAAAGTAAGACCAGTGTCTACAAAGTATTATCACGTAAACAGCTTTCAGTGGAATGGACAAGCTGACAATTAAAAAAGTTCTAAAACACAGGCAATATCCGAACTACGACGAGGTTCAGGTGCAGAGCGAGAACGTTCCGCGTCCGGGGCTAGAAGATGAAGTCAAAGTCTCCGTCGCAGTCGTCCCGATAGCGGTCGCAACTCGTTCCGGCGCAGAGCACCGCGCAAGTCCTGGGCAGCACGGCCCGCAGCGCCTGGCGTTGCTTCTCGCAGTGGCACGGGTCATAGCAGCGACGCCCGCACCGCACCCAGCGACGCAGCGCGCGCAGCCGGCAGCGCTCCATCATGGGCACCAACGTCTCGGTGCTGCACGTCACGGGCCACTGGTCCTCGCCCTGAGAAGGGAGAGGGGGCAGTCAACACTGAGAATGAATGGGTCACCACCATCACCCTTTACACGGGTGATGCAACTTCGTTGCCCAATTTTGGGTGACGAAATGTTTATCACCCGACATTTGATAACCGGCATTAGGTCGCCCAAACTTAGGTAACGTCGTCGGAAACGCCGTGAGGTCCCCGATGACCGCTATGTGGCGTCGAGGCATCGGGGTCGTAATTTGGCGTATCTAGGGAGCACAAGATTTTTTTGGGGGTCACCGATCTGGACCAAAATTTTACCACATGCACCCCTAGGGTAGAGAAAGATGCCCACAAATTTTGAAGGTCCTAGGTTGACCCAGTCCGGAGCAGTGGACCTTAGTGTGTTTTGCGACTTTTGGGTGAAAGTCAACTTAGAAGGTACAAATCGATGGGAAGGGCTCGACCTAGGGACTTAAAAATTTTACTAGGACAACATTTTAGAATTTTTTTAAGAATTTTGAAAAACTTATGCTTTTTGAAGAAAGTTGAACTTAAATTTTTTTTTCTAGATCTCAAAATCATATTTTTGGAAAAAATTGAACAAAATTGAGAAAGTACCTTTCCTTGGTCCTAGTAACTGTTCAAAATTTCAGCCTGGGCACCGACTTGGTTTGGGAGCTATGGAAGAAAGCGTAAATTTCACTCCGTAGTCTGAAGGACTTTAGCGGGGAAATGACTCATTTGTAGCCTGGGTATAATGGGATAAGCTATGATCCCAAGATAGACATAGTGATCTAATGAATATCTTCTACTTCCTTACTTGTGTTTTGAGTGTTTTCAGCATGTCAAGATTATGTTTCGAAGAGCCAAGTCATTGTAAGTTCATTTCACGGGTGGAATCGTAATCAAACAGTGTCTTTAATATGCCCCTGATTTGGCTCTTCGAAACATACTGCTGACATGCTGAAAACACTCAAAACACAAGTAAGGAAGTAGAAGATATTCATCAGATCACTATGTCTATCTTGGGATCATACCTTATCCCATTCTTATATACCCAGGCTACAAATGAGTAATTTCTCCGCTAAAGTCCTTCAGAGACTACAGAGTGAAATTTACGCTTTCTTCCATAGCTCCCAAACCAAGTCTGTGCCCAGGCTGAAATTTTGAACAGTTACTGGGACCAAGGAAAGGTACTTTCTCAATTTTTTTCAATTTTTTCCAAAAATATGTTTTTGAGATCTAGAAAAAAAAATTAAGTTCAACTTTCTTCGAAAAGAATAAGTTTTTCAAAATTCTTGAAAAAATTCTAATGTTGTCCTCATGCTCCCTACGACCTGGTAAAATTTTTAAGTCCCTAGGTCAAGCCCTTCCCATCGATTTGTACCTTCAAAGTTGACTTTTACCCAAAAGTCGCAAAACACACTAAGGCCCACTGCTCCGGACTGGGTCGACGGTAAAAATTTGGTCCAGATCAGTGACACCAAAAAAAAATCTTGTGCCCCCTAGATATGGAATCACTCTACTTCGCCAAGCATGCATTTAGTATGTACTAAGCACACAGTAACTCTGCAAACTCAACAGTGTATTTGCACTCATGAGGACACTCTCCTCAGCGTGTACTCACTAGATCACTCCCACGACCGTGCACTCACCGACATAAGCACACTCTAGTTGCCGTGTACTAAGCTAAGCACACTCTCGTTAGACTTAGCTGAGCACACACTCGCAGGGGTGTGCTTTGAAGTAGTACACGCCGAATAGAGTGTACCAAGCGCACTGTCGACTATGCAGAGAAAATTTGTAGAAAGCCCTTCTCAACGAACCCCCATGGCCCCCGCGGACAGCAAGACCTCCTGGAGCGAGTGGCCGTAGGCACGCAACAGCGCCTCGGTCGTCTCCCGGGGCAGGTCGTACGCCCGCAGCCACTTGACGCCCGTCCCGGGCTCGCTGGGGGCGGCCAGCTCGACGTTCGGGTCCTCGCCTTTCCGCATGGCGTAGTCGTCTATCTTCAGGCGACGCAACCTACAGAAGGGAGTCTAGCAAACACTCTACTCTTGTGGCCTCTTTTTTTATGCACAACAATGCATGCTCGGACTCGTGCGTACACTGTCCTTCGAAGTGTGGTACAGACAACAGATAATGTGGTGGGGTAGGCGCAAAACTGTGCTCACCCAAATTGTCCACACGTGGCAATGCGGTCAAAATCACTCTATAAATCGAAGAGCGTACATTGTATGCTCTAACTGGAGCATGCCTGAGGGCACGCTCTACTTAGCGCATGTCTGCCAAGCATGCACTTACTAGTGCATACATGCCATGTACACGCTAACTGAAGCATGCATCTAGTGCATAAGGGATAGGGAGTTGCCTGCATCAGAAAGCGTTTACATGGCAAGTATGCACTAGTAAGTGCATGCTTGGCAGGCATGCGCTAGCTAGAGCGTGCTTGCAGGCATGCTCCAGTTAGAGCATACAATGTACGCTCTTCGATTTGTAGAGCAGTGGTTAGCGAAGTACCACATAAAGTTCATGGTGAATACCACAGTAAATATGTGGTGAGTCCACTATATCTCGTGGTCCTGGCCACGCAATACATGAGGTAACGGCTGAATCATAGGTTTGTACCACTGTTTTGAAGGGGTGTGATTCTTACCACATTTGTACGTGAGTAGAATGCGGTAACCACACTTCAGGTCTCACCACAGCCAAATGTGGTAACTTCACCACACTTTCGATTTCAGTGTAAAGCGTGTAGGAATAGAAAGCATTACTTTGTATGTTTTACACAGGAAAATGCAAGCCACGTTTGTATCTGTCCATGCATAGTAAGGTGAAAAATCAATTGTGGGTCACATTTTTGAAAATTCCAAATTAAGGCCTTTAATTCTGACCTGGTGACAAAAGTGCATGTGCGGCTTTTAACTATGGTCCTTGGCCTAAGTTTTGCAGCATAGTAGCCCTGTCTATCATCCTTATTTACTAAGCTGTGGCTGTTTTAAAAGTAGTCTGTTTTGGCCCACAATTGATTTTTGGAACCAGTTGTGGGTCAGCATTGTAGGAAGCTCAAATTTGGATATGATTTGCTTAAATACGAGAGAAATTCACTTCTGAATTTATTTTTCGGAATCGTGAAAACTGCAGGATCTGTAGCACCATGAATCAATCAATTGTGGCTCATATCAATTGTGGGCCATTTCATCTTTTTGCTTGTAAATTGACCACTTTTGCAAGATATTTTCTTATCTTCATTTATTAAAGGTCCCTGGTTCTCAATAAACCAAGCAGACACGTTTTTCACTCAAAAAGGAAAAATACATAAACAGGCTAATTTCACTGTGAGACAGATGTGAGTTAAACGTCCTGGATTAGACACGAAACTTTTATAGTGCGTATTGTAGGGCCGCCGGTGTGGTAGACAATCCAACACCACACCCTGTCATCATGAGGTATTGCTACAGTTTATTATCTATTTCAGTCAGAATATATAGTCTGTTGGGATTGATTTGACTCCTTATAACAGGGCCGGACTGGCCTCGGGTGCCTAGCCCGCAGTTGGAGAGCGGTTCCCTTCCGGGAGCTATGTAAGCCCCGAAATGCGCCCCCCCCCCCTCCCCAACAAAAAAGCCTGATGGCAGACTGGAAGTATAAGCTAGTGTTGTCATTCGGGGCTGTAGCTTAACATAACCTTCGTATCGTAATACTAAATGTGACAGAGCAGAAAAATGGAATTTACTGGGATACATCAGTCATTCAGAAGCGCAGAAAACAAAAAAAATAGCAGAAAAACTACCGGAAAATTCGTTTAAAATAATGGTTCTGACATGGAAGCGAACGCTACTTTGCCATCACCCGCGCACCATGGCATCGAATGATTTCGGCTGTACTATGGTAAAATTATGTTCCCTGACCTACTATGAACCAAAATCAGCAAGGGCGTCCCGTTTTATCTCGTAATAGCTTCACGGTGGCAATTTGAAAAACATACGATTTTTCGCCTCGTTGGATGGGCGCTATTTTCACGACATTTTGGAGGGCCTTCCTTTGAAGCCTGATAGGAGCCGTTGCAGTCATCGCTCGGACATACACGCTATTTGGAAAGACAAAGAAAGGTTGGAGGAAGGTCTACCACGAAATTCAAATCGATTCAATCTCCGTCGGGTCTGCGGTGACCCGTCGAAAAAAATGACCCACAATTGATTCGTGACCCACAATTGATTTTTTACCTTACGCATAGACACTCTGCAAACTAACAGTGTACTCAGTACACTCTCTTTAGCGTGTACTCACGAGTACACTCTCTTCAGTGTGTGCTCTCGAGCACACTCCCACGAGCGTGTTTTCAACTGCATATATTTCCAGGATCTGAGCACACTCTCGTTAGAGTGTACTCATCTAAGCACACACTCGTTACAGAGTACTCATCTAAGCACTCTCGTTAGAGAGTACTCATCTAAGTACACTCTCGTTTGAGTGTACTCTCTTCGGAGTGTTCACTGAGATTCCAAACGCTATGAGAAAAGCACGTATCAAGGGGCGACCCACTGTAAAATTTTGTGTACAATGATTGTGTGAATGTGCAAGATTTCTGGCGTTTTTGACACACATGTGCCTACTTACAAGCATTTTTGCCACCTGAATGTGGAATGTGGTCAAATTTTGTACACTCCCGACAAAAATTAGCGGAACGCTTTTTGTCATCGTAATATTTTCTAAGTCTTTCGAGCTAGGAAGCTGAAATTTTGTACACGGGTGCCCCTACTACTTCCCTCGAGGCCTGCGAAGTGCGTAGCCCGTGCGCCTCCCCTAACGGACGGCACCCACCCCTAAGTGCGCGAGGGTGAAAAAAAACGATGAAAACGTGCCGTAAAAACCAACTTTACCTTATCGCAGAGGCCAAAGTTTTCGTGTACGAGGTCAAATGAGTCTCCTCTTTCCAACGATGCAAGCGGAATTCAATTTGAACCAACCCACCCCCCGCTGCACTCACCCCCACCCCCTCGAGGGGGTGGATTTCGAGCATGTTTGAATTTCGCGCAAAACAGCGTCGGGGCGTCCCCCGTACCAAGCAACCATGTTTTTTCGACGTTCCAACCACCCCCGGGTGAATCATCCCCCGGAAAGTCCAACCCCCTTTCGAACACCGGCCGTCCGGGGCCTTTCGGTTTGAGCAAAATGCAACAAAACTCCAGGAGGCATTCCTCCAGTGTCCAAGAAGACGTCTCAGCGAAGAAACGCGCTGCCGGACGACTGCAACCCCTGCTGTCGGGGTGTTCACCCCCTTGCACCCCTGCACGCCCCTGGAGGGGTTGGAAGCCCTCCGACGAGCGGGCTGGTCGAACATGACATGAGGGAAGCGATCCTGAAGTTTTCAAGACGATCCCACCAACCGTTCGTCTTCCAGAGCGAAAAAAGCGTCATTTCCAGTAAAAACCACCCCTCACTTCACCCCCTTCCAGCGACTCACTGAGTGGGGGTAGCAGTCCCAATCAACGTCACAACACTCGGCCCAGACCTCATTTCAAAGGCCTCCATGTTTCAGACTGATACGACAAAGCATGGGACCGTGGGAGCGACGCAACGATGTGCCTGCACTCGGCGGCAACGGACGCGCTGGCCCGTCGGGTCCATGCGCCGTGCAGGTAGGCAAGCCAACTCACCTGGCGCCAGGTTGATTAAAAGCCATTTGGAAGCCTGATTATGGCTCGCGCGTCACCACGCTTCAGCACTGTGGGCAGGGCATGTCTCCCAACATGCCACAGTGGCTAACCAGCCAAAATCAGGCTTCCAAATGGCTTTTAATCAACCTGGCACCCGGTGAGTTGGCTTGCCTACCTGCACGGCGCATGCACCCGACGGGCCGGCACGTCCGTTGCTGCCGAGTGCAGGCACATCGTTGCGTCGCTCCCACGGTCCCATGCTTTGTCGTATCAGTCTGAAACATGGAGGCCTTTGAAATGAGGTCTGGGCCGAGTGTTGTGACGTTGATTGGGACTGCTACCCCCACTCAGTGAGTCGCTGGAAGGGGGTGAAGTGAGGGGTGGTTTTTACTGGAAATGACGCTTTTTTCGCTCTGGAAGACGAACGGTTGGTGGGATCGTCTTGAAAACTTCAGGATCGCTTCCCCCATGTCATGTTCGACCAGCCCGCTCGTCGGAGGGCTTCCAACCCCTCCAGGGGCGTGCAGGGGTGCAAGGGGGTGAACACCCCGACAGCAGGGGTTGCAGTCGTCCGGCAGCGCGTTTCTTCGCTGAGACGTCTTCTTGGACACTGGAGGAATGCCCCCTGGAGTTTTGTTGCATTTGGCTCAAACCGAAAGGCCCCGGACGGCCGGTGTTCGAAAGGGGGTTGGACTTTCCGGGGGATGATTCACCCGGGGGTGGTTGGAACGTCGAAAAAACATGGTTGCTTGGTACGGGGGACGCCCCGACGCTGTTTTGCGCGAAATTCAAACATGCTCGAAATCCACCCCCTCGAGGGGGTGGGGGTGAGTGCAGCGGGGGGTGGGTTGGTTCAAATTGAATTCCGCTTGCATCGTTGGAAAGAGGAGACTCATTTGACCTCGTACACGAAAACTTTGGCCTCTGCGATAAGGTAAAGTTGGTTTTTACGGCACGTTTTCATCGTTTTTTTCACCCTCGCGCACTTAGGGGTGGGTGCCGTCCGTTAGGGGAGGCGCACGGGCTACGCACTTCGCAGGCCTCGAGGGAAGTAGTAGGGGCACCCGTGTACAAAATTTCAGCTTCCTAGCTCGAAAGACTTAGAAAATATTACGATGACAAAAAGCGTTCCGCTAATTTTTGTCGGGAGTGTACAATGAATGTGGGAAGCTGTTCCCCCCTCGGCACGTATGGTGCAATGCAGCTGAGATACCGTACCACACTACAAAATCCATTATGTACTAAGTATGCATCTATAGGAGTGTACTTGCCAAGTATACTTGGGCAAGTAAACATCGGACCGCTATCACAAGTATACTCCTAGAGATGTATACTTGCCCATAGGGATGTGCAAATCAAGGATTTTCATTTCAAATCGAATCTTTAAAAAAAGTTTCGAATCTAACTATTAAAGCTTCAAAATCGAATAGACTTCGAACTGAAACTAAAAAAAAATAAATGCGTTTCAAAACACATTTTCTGCAATAAAGGAAGGACATAGAGTAGGAACAAAAAAAGAAGAAAATTAAATGTATCTGCTCTTGCTTTGGTATAAAAACAACGCGCTGAGCGCGCGACTTTCAACCGTTCCCGATCAACCGATTCGAAGACGAACCACTGTCGATTCGAAAATTTCGAATGTTTGGGGTCGAAGCAAACAGCGATCCGTCTCCGAATCGAATCAGCCCTGATTCGATTCGATACCGAACTATTCGCACATCCCTACTTCCCCAAGTATACTCCTATAGACGTGTACTTGCCACGTACACTCCTATAGATGTACGCTAAGTACACAGTGGATTTTGTAGTGCATACGTGCAATACGATAGCCATATTGAACCTTACGTGCAATGCGTCGCGAAAATGCCCTATGCTAATGCATGGGAATTGGGTGGCATTTCACTTCATGTGCAATGCTTTTGCAATGCACCAATTGACGCTATACTCATAGTGTTTGGATTCTCAGTATACTTGTGAATACACGCTGAACAGAGTATGCTGAGCACACTGTTGAGCTTGCAGAGCATTAACACTAGCTGTGCACGCAACGCCACACTGGTAGGCGAGGAATGTGACGTCACGTTTGTTTTCACGTAAAAACGGCGATGTTAGTTTGAGCGTGACAAACGGTGAAAATTTACAGTCAAACGAACGTGACATACCGCACCGCTTTGTCACATTACTTCGGGTGTGACACGCAATCAGCTGTCGAACTGTCACATTACTTCGGGTGTGACACGCAATCAGCTGTCGAACTGTCACATTAAATCGTAAATTTTCACCGTTTGTCACGCTTAAACTAACATCTCTGTTTTCACGTGAAAACGAACGTGACGTCACATTCCTTGGCTACCAGTGCAGTTCGAATCATGAAGAGGAGCGAGCGAGCGAGAGAGAGAGAGAGAGAGGGGGGGGGGAGAGAGAGAGGTACCTGGGCATGTTGCGGAGCTCGGCGAGCATGCTGCGCGTGGCAGGGACGAGGCTGAGCTCCTCCACTCGCGGGGCGACCCGGCGCAGCAGCTCGGTCGCCCACGGCGGGTCCATGGACGGCTCGTAGCAGCTGGTGATGATGGTGAGGCGCCGCACCTGTACAACGGCACAAGTTACTTCCCACCAACGTGCCAACAACAATCAGACCGAGTTCCGACTGCCCCACTCCCTCACTGCCACACCAAATAGTCAAGTAACTGCCGCACAAAAGCACAGTTGCGTTTCAGTTTCACCAGTGTATAAATACCGACCATTGTTACATCGGGGACTGCACTGTCACTACGTCATAATATTTACTAAAGAACGGCAGTAAAAAATTATGGCAACATTTGTCAATAGAGGTATATAAATTTGATAATACCCAAAAAGGAAATGGCAAAAAAATTGTAGCCAAAGAAATTGCAAGACACATATTAAAACAATCCCAAGATGCGTTAACTCATGGCAATTGCAAACTCGGTTTCGAATCCAAAACTTGTAAAACTTTCGCAAAATGACTGACCGTCGCGTGCGACCTCTTGACGGCCTCTAGCTGCGCGGGACCCATCCAGTTGGCGTCCAAGAGTAGGGTGTCCAGGTGGCCGGCATACGCCATCAGGCGCAGGCGCAAGCCTTCGTCTAGCTCGTCGTCCGTGGAGTATTCCGACGCGGAATCACCCCCGCCACCTTCTCCTTTGCAGCGGCCGTCGCTGCAGTCATCAGATTCCTCCTCCTCGACTTCGCTGTCCTCTTCGTCTTCTTCCTCCTCAATTTCTTCGTCTTCCTCATCGATGGCTTCATCGTCCTCCTCCATGCCTTCGTCCTTGACGGCCGCATCCTCCTCGACTAGCTTCTCGCCCACAGGGGCTGCGGCGACCTTGCCCTGAAAAAAGCCATCGTAATTTTAGGACAAACTAAATGATGATTTTAAAAAGGGAACTCAAACGAACCTTGAATCAGAAGAGCAAAGGTAAACTAAACCCAGCTTCTGCGCATGCGTACCGGGTGGTGGGGGTAACGTTTGAGCATGGTACCGGGTGGTGGAGGAAACATCTGTGCAAGCGCAGAAGTCGTTCTCAGGGCTTACTTTTGTTCTTCTTCCGTTTCAAGATTCATTGGAGTACCCTATTTAGGAAACAGATAAAACTAAAGCGTAACTCCATGATTGAGTCAAGCATACTCTACAAATCAAAGAGTGTACATGGTACGCTCTAACTGGAGCATGCCTGCAAGCACGCTCTAACTAGCGCATGCCTGCCAGGCATGCACTAACTAGTGCATACATGCCATGTACACGCTAACTCAAGCATACATTTACTGCATAAGGGATAGGGAGTTTTCTGCATCAGGAAGCGTGTACATGGCATGTATGCTCTAGTTAGTGCATGCTTGGCAGGCATGCGCTAGCTAGAGCGTGCTTGCAGGCATGCTCCAGTTAGAGCATACTATGTACACTCTTTGATTTGTAGAGTAGAGTTACGCTTGAAAGGAAGCATACACTAGTGTTGTGACTCTGCAAATCGACCCCAAAATATTGCTCGAAATAATTAATGATTTCTCGCGGGTTCAATTTGCCGAGTCCCCACAGTTTTAGTCAGATCCTTGATTACATCTCCGCGGCCGGTCGGCCACGACAGAGCCGTAGCAGGACAGGGCAGACACCTGGACCATGGCAGGGCAGGGCATGTTGCGCTGGTCCCTGCCGAGGCGGCATCTTCTATGCTTTCCGAGTTTTACTACTTTTCGAGGAACTCGTGTCGCAAGGGGTCGCTGATGAGCCTGTCCCTATTCTGCGTCCTTGGGTGTTACGACATGAATCGATTCCACGTGTGGAAGTCGCGATGTCTGGGAGGGGGCCCTGCAGTTCACAATTTTGTATATAAAGTCAGAATCTCTCCTGGACATCGCCAGTCGCCCAGGACAGTCCAGTAGTGTCGTGTCTGTGACGTATCTGGGTGTTGGGACGCTGGTCCGTCTTGTGAACAGTTTGTGTGGAGGAAGGGAGGAGCTGAAGCCCGTAACATCTGTTTGTAATCCGTTTGTGAATTTGGCATTTGTTTTGAGAATATAATTTTGATAATTGATTTTTGATCGAGTCTTGGAATAATTGGTAACTTGTTTTTTCCTTCATTTCACACTAAATTCACATAACGAAGGTTGCGAAAAGCGGGGCACGCAACACTAGGAAAATTAGGAAATTAGGAAAATCGTACGGGGATCTACCCCCCAGGTCAGATGGGGAAACTTGGCGGATGAGCCTATTACGCTTGATTTCAAGCGTAAACTGATACTGCTTGAAAAAAGAGCGTAATACTACGCTTTAGTTTAACCAGGGAATGTATCGCCAGGGAATGTATCGATCGTAGGATGCTGATTACGATAAGATGGCCAAAGTTAAACTGTACAAACCCTCCTTTTCCTAGGAAAACAGTGCCTGAAAACCACATGTGAGATATTTACGATGGGAAGTTATTGGCTGAGCGATAGCGAAGCCTGTTACTCCATTGGGGTTGAAAAGTTTTTCCTGTCTGTCTGTCTGTCCGTCTGTCTGTGTGTGTGTCCGCACTACTCCTACTGAACGGCTCGGCCGATCTCGGTGAGATTTTGCACACTTTTTGGGCATGTCCTTGGCTCGGCACACGCGAAATTTCACTATCCTAGCTCAACTGGTTCAGTTTTTATAGCCGAAAAACACCTAAAAAACGGCGAAAAATCGAGTTTTCTGCAGGCAGATCACTTCTGTCTTGAGGAAGGGGGGTCTGGGGGGCGGAGCCCCCCAGCCCCGACAAGTTAAAAAGTTACAAGGGATCTAGAATGAAGCCAGCCTGCATCAAGTTAGAAGTAACCGACGATGGACAAGCCATTGCCTGCCGAAGGCAGGCTAGCGCCGCAGGCCAAGGTAGGTACGCCAGGCGCGGATTGGAGGAACAGGCAGCGAGACATCGCGAAGCCTGTTACGACAAGACGCGGTCTGGCGTAAACCTACCTTGTTGGCTGAGCGATAGCGAAGCCTGTTACTCCAGTGGGGTTGAAAAGTTTTTCCTGTCTGTCTGTCTGTCTGTCTGTGTGTCCGCACTACTCCTCCTAAACGGCTCGGCCGATATCAATGAGATTTTGCACACTTTTTGGGTATGTCCTTGGCTCGGCACACGCGAAATTTCACCATCCTAGCTCAACTGGTTCAGTTTTTATAGCCGAAAAACACCTAAAAAATGGCGAAAAATCGAGTTTTCTGCAGGCTGGTCACCTCTGTCTTGAAGGAGGGGGGGGTCTGGGGGGGCGGAGCCCCCCAGCCTCGACAAGTTAAACAGTAACAAGGGTCAAGATCGTGTTATCTGTAGATGAAGCAACTCTATCTAGAATGAAGGGGGGTCTGGAGCCCCCAGCATGCAACAAGGTAGAAGAAACCGACGATGGACAAGCCAGCCTGCCGAAGGCAGGCTAGCGCCGCAGGCCAAGGTAGGTACGCCAGGCGCGGGTTGGAGGAACAGGCAGCGAGACATCGCGAAGCCTGTTACGACAAGACGCGGTCTGGCGTAAACCTACCTTGTTATCAATACATTACTATGTGGATCTTATTTTAGCATATAAATTACAGAAACTTCATCATGCGTTTAAAAATGCACGAAGTGTGGCGTTGCTACGTACGAAAGTGTGCGTTTTTATCACGAAATCGCGCGTTTCACATGCATGCTCAATTTTGTGCAAAGGTTACGCACAAAAAATAAAACTACATAGTATTTTGGAGTATTCAGAAACTCGTGAACCACTTATCGTAATATTATTCGTTAACGAGCATCCAAAAATTCCTTTGACGTAAAAGTAATTTAAAAAGTTACGAATTATCTGACAAACTTCGCATTTTCAAACTACGAACGGATTGAGATGCTTTATAGAACAAGGTAGGTTTACGCCAGACCGCGTCTTGTCGTAACAGGCTTCGCGATGTCTCGCTGCCTGTTCCTCCAATCCACGCCTGGCGTACCTACCTTGGCCTGCGGCGCTAGCCTGCCTGCGGCAGGCAATGGCTTGTCCGTTGTCGGTTATTTTTTAACTTCTTGAGTGCTGAGCCCCCCAGACCCCCCTACATTCTAAATAGAGCTGTTTTATCTACAGATAACACGATCTTGACCCTTGTCACTTTTTAACTTGCCGTCCCTTTCTCCAAGACAGAAATGGTCTATTTGCAGAAATCTCTATTTTTCGCCGTTTTTTAGGTGTTTTCGCCTATAAAAACTGAACCAGTTGAGCTAGGATGGTGAAATTTCGCGTGTGCCGAGCCAAGGACATACCTAAGAAGTGTGCAAAATCTCACCGAGATCGGCCGAGCCGTTCAGGAGGAGTAGTGCGGACACACAGACACACAGACAGACAGACAGACAAAACTTTTCAACCCCACTTGAGTAACAGGCTTTGCTTTCGCTCAGCCAAAAATTCCTGGAGCCTCCGAAACGAAACATCCATAATCTAATCGTACGAATGCAAACCGCTCACACGTATGCCCGAGCATTCGTAAAACGAGTATCTAGTTTACAAGAAATTTGCTCTCTCATCCTTCAGTTGACATTTCAATAATAGTCACTTTCGTTTAAGCACATTAAGGGGGGACATCACTCCAAAATGATCAAAAATTGCAACTTTTTTTTATTAGTTTATATTATAGACCATTCCTTTCTGCGTCGAATGGTGAAAACCGAATTCCGGAATACAAAAAATTGCAGTTTTAGTAGGTTGTGCGCCGCAAACATGCATAGGGGAAAAGCCCAGTTTCCCCAACTTTGATCGCGTTTTTCTCGGAACATGAAATTGCAAACGGTTGCAGGCCTCTAGGGCGCAGTTTTTGAGCTACAGCGGGGAGATTTAGCATGGAAGCTCCTTCGACATGCCGCCATGGTGGGTAGCAAAATATTTTGATTTGGTCAATTTTTATTATTTTTTTAACGTTCAAAATTGAACAATTTTGACCCAAAAAATTGAACAATTTTTTTGGCATGTAACAAATTCAACTTTAAATGATTTTTGAAATGTGATTGAGGTACCCACCATAGCCAGACATCTCAGGAAGGCTGTCACCAAATTTCAATGTTCTAGGTCAAACCGTTTGGCGTCCAGCGCTGCAACCGTGCGAAATGGTCTAACCTAACACTCAAAAATGTGTTTTCAACGAAAGCGCTGTACTGCCCTGGCGGATTGACTTAGTGTTGTTTTATGCTTTATCTGTTAAAATATGAACAATTTTCCTCTTTCCGTTTGGTTTTTATGACGTTTTTACAAAAGCACTGTTTTTGGAGTGATGTCCCCCCTTAATCGATGAGAAGCTTAACGGTTGATAGTTGGTAATAACGTCTCTAACTGAATAAATATGTTTAAGTGCTTATTAATGTGCGCACCCATGAGATTACTGAGAATGAAACAGTCACCACCACCGCCCTTTCATTGGGTAACGCATGCCCGTTGCCCAAATTTGGGTGACGAGCCTGCGGTGACCAAATTTTGGGCAGTCATAGAATCGTCGCCCAAATTTGGGTAACGTCGTCAGCGACGCCGTGAGGTCCCCGATGACGTACATCCGGGGCCACCACGATGACCCAATGGGGCGTTGAGGCCTCCGGTCATCGTGGTGGCCCCGGAAGGACGTCATCGGGAACCTAACGGCGTCGCCGACGGCGTTACCCAAATTTGGGCGACCAAACGCCTGTTACCAAATTTCGGGTGATGAATTTTTCGTCACCAAAATTTGGGCAACGAAGTTGCATCACCCATTTAAAGGGTGATGGTGGTGACCAACTCATTCTCAGTGATATGCCGGGAAAAACTCTGTACGCGAGTCTGCACCATTCGTGGTAATTTTAACCGTAGAGATACATAAACTCAAAGAGAAAAAATTCAAATGTGACTGAAAATTTAAAGAATTTATCACGAATAATGTGCTTGCATTGCTCACCTCGCCTCCGATGATGCCGACCTGGTCGTCCGGAGCGCCGGTGGCGGCGGCCTCTGGATCACTAGCCTCTTCATCGCTGGTGTCTTCTGTGGTCACGCCGTCGTCGAAAGAGTCCTCGCCGGCTGAGTCTCTGCCATCATCGGAGCTCGGGCCGAAGCCCGGCCCGAACAGCGCGTCACATTGCTCCCCGCAGCGATGGAGGTGCCTGCGCGGAACCCGGCGGAAATTTAAGCGGACTCGCTTCTTCTCCCACACCACGGCGTCTCTGGCGACACAAACATCGAGTTAGTCGCGAGTCACACTGAGAGCGCACTCAGTGTTATGTACGATATTCTGCGCAACGTTAGCGTCAAGGGGAGATGAACTTGTCGTCCCATTTTCGTACGAGAACATGCACATGTTTTGGTGAAAAATCACGCACTACTTTGTACAAAAAGCTTCATCTGAAGAAATCACTATGACGTATCGGGCACTGAGTATCACAAAAATGTGCGCTGACCACACTGGAAAAATTAAAGCGTAACTCGATGCTTGACTAGGAACTCCCCCATACTTAACTCTTGGCGGATCAACCTGTTATGCTTGGTTTCAAGCGTACACTGTGGCAAAAAGCTACGGAAAATTCTGTTAACAGCTTGTGGTAATTCCCCGTAGGCTCCTTGTCAATATTCTTCATAGGACCTTGAAGTATTCTTACGGAGAATACTGTAAGATCCTACGGAGAATACTGTAAGAAGTATTATCACGGAGACTACTATGAGAAGTATTCTCACGGAGAGTACCGTAAGATCCTGCGGAGGATAGTGTGATAATAGGGCTATGGAGAATTCTTGCAAAAAAAAAAAAAAATAACAGAATATTCCGTTACCTTTATGCCACAGAGCAAACTGATAATGCTTGAAATAATATAATATTTTCTCTTAATGTAAACACAATTTTATTGATGTAACAGATAAATTCGATACTGCAATATGTCATGTACCTATTTAACAATCCAAATCAAAATAACAAAAAAATTGAATTTGAATATCTGAAGGTCCATATAAGAGCCTAATGTCCCAAATTTCTGAGAATAGAATAAAACATAAAAGAGCTAATGGGGTGATTCTTCAAAGAGACAAAAATGAACGCCTTAGTTTCCAGATAATCACACTAAAGATTCTGAGGTTCGAATATCGACTTCACGCCGCTCGACGCGACAGGCAAATATGTCTCGCCACAAAAATGTGATACTTTTCTGTCTGGTCACAATGTGGTCAGACTTTGGAACCCCGTCAATGTGGTCCATGCAGCCTGAACTGTGCCGTGGTCGAAAAAGAAGTCTCACCATTTGGCAGCCCGACTAAATTCTGGCGAGGTTTTCGGATCTGACCAAAACTTGACGAGACTTTCCAACAACTCTACATATTTGGACGCAGAATCAGAGATGAAAATGCCCGGAAAGTTCCCAGAAACATTGAGAACAAAACAGTTTTTTTCCGTTTGTTTCCTGGCCTCGAAAAAAAAAAAGATTCAGACAGCAAAGTAGGCAAAAGTCCTGACTTTTCGCCTGTAAGTAGGAAAAAAGCTGTTTTTTCTCATTTTGTGAAGACGTTTCTCAGTGCACTCATGCTAGTTACACCCTGGTATGTTACATTCTCGTGCATTTCTTTTGTGGTGGCAGTTGCGATGAATCTAGGATTGCCACTCAAAGTCAAGACCTAACGGAACACAAAAGTAGGAGGTTTCATGTTCATATTCCACTGAAGAACTCTCGAACTAATTCTGCCAATTTTTCCGGCATCTTGCGTGTTTTTTTAACCGTGTCTTTTGGACTTGTTGTAACCTTTGATAATTCTCGAGAAATTTGCATCTTAAGGGTCATTTCGGGGAAAAACTGGACAGGGGAAGAACTGAACACCCCACACTTTACCTGAAATGCCGTATGCACAGACTGTCAAGTCAACTGCGTACTATATGCCACGGAACAACTATTGATGGTTGTTATGCCTGTGCATTCGGTATTTACGGTGAAATGTGGGGTGTTCAGTTCCTACCCTGCTCAGTTCTTCCCTGCATTGACCATATGCAGAATCTTTCAATTTTATTCTCAGTGCACTTACCGGCAGAAGTCCCTCCAAGCGCGGCTCAACTGCCCGAGAACGAGCACCTCCCGCGGCGACAAGAAACAAGTTATGCGGAAGAGGATCTCCTTCGGGAGAACTGCCAGCGGATCCCGCCTGCTCTCCATCGCAGAATGCTCCATCGAGGAACGCTCCGTCGCAGAACGCTCGGCGCGCCCAGGACTCGTCACCGTCGCCATCAGGGGAGATTTAACTCGGGAAACCTGCGGAAAGTCGAGGGGGTATTCACTGGTGTAATAGTCTGTTCACCTTGGCCGTAATAATGCCTGTAATAATGGGTAATAACGCGTAATATTGTGTAATAATGCAAAATAAAGTGTAATAATGTGGAATAATGCGCAATAACGTGTAATATCACGTAATAATGCGTAATGTACGCATTTTTTTACTGAAATTGCTGCACATATTGACTACAAAATGGAAATGGCGTTAATTTGCTACTCTGTGCAGCAATGTTTTCTACCATTCCGGTCCCGCCATCCTTTCTGTCTTCTTCGTCTTCCCCCTCCCTTCCCTCCCCCTTCCCCCCACCCCCCAGATGTTCTTGTTGGCGGATCCAGCACTGAAAAACCAAACGTGGTCTAGACCACACCAACTGCACTGAAAATCTACCGGCGTGACTTCGTGCCGCTGCAGGGGCGTGAATAAAGTGTCAGGCCATTAAACGGCATGACACAAAAGTCACGCCAAAAATCAGCGTGACTCAAAAATTCACGCCAATTTTTGGCGTGAATTTCTTGTTATGCCGCTTTTTGGCGTGACTTGCCTCAGAAAACGCGTTGTCAATCACGCCAAATGAGGGCGTGACTCACATGTCACGCCGTTTTTCGGCGTGAATTTCGTGTCACGCCAATTTTTGGCGTGACTTTTTGTCACGCCATAATTTGGCCATGTGTCCGACCATTACGTTTTCAGTGTGATGTGGTATAATGGGTGCCATTTTGACCGCATCGGTTGGTGCGGTCTAGACCACGTTTGGTGCGAAAGACCACACCTTACGTGGTCTAGACCTCACCAAACGTGCCTAAACGTGGTCTAGACCACACAAACTGATGCGGTCAAAGAGGCACCCATTTGACCCTACCAATGGTGTGGTCCAGACCACGTTTGGTTTTTTCTGTGAGAGCGGCCTATGCGGGTGGCGAAGTAGCACTTTTTGCCTACCTTTCAGGCGGCTACCTAGGGGCTAAGAAGAGGGGGGGGGGTGGAAAAACCCCATTGCAAAAAAGTAAAATCGTGCTCTCAAGAAAATCTTTAGAAATACTATTGGTAAGGGGAGGTTTTGGAAAACAAAGGTCCATTTGAATCTTCCTGCCCATTCAAACAAACTCAAAACTTTAGTAGCATGTAAGAGCATTCTATGGTATGAATAACTACAGCAGAATGGCGAACAAGGGAGAGGAGAAAAGAGGGGGCGGGGCAAAGTGGTGTTGGGCTTCCCTTTCGGTTAAAAATGGCCGTAAAAATGACTGTAATTATCCTGTAATAACCCTGTAATAATGCGTAATAACGTAAAATAATGTGTAATAATGTAAAATAATGTGTGATAGTGTAAAATAATGTGTAATAACGCGTAATAACTGTAATAAGCGTAATAGCGACTACTCTGTGCGCCAGTTTTCGAAGTGAATACCCCCTCGCGGAAAGTCAAAACATATGATGATTACAATGTTTAATTTCATGTCACGGATGATAATGTTTGCAATCTGCATGTGAGTCGGAATTTTCAGGCCACCAACAGCAAAAGTTACGACTCTTCCCAGTTCTGAATCGTTCTGAGTCGTCGCCGAACAAAAAGAGGAACAAAACCGGAAGCTGGGAAGAAAGGGAGTAGGTAGCGACCCCGGTTTCAAAGGGCACTACAAATCCAAATGTCAGACTTCTCGCCACTGCGAGACATAAAGTCTGGTCAAGTTTTGGTCAGACTGTTAAGAGAAGTCGTTATTTTAAAACAGTAATCCCAACAATAAGTGTTGTAATTTTACAAATAATAATTCGTAAAATAACTACACACTCTTAAAACCTTACGAAGTATTTTGAGCATACATATAACAAACTAAAATACTTTGTTATACGAACAAATAGTTTGTAAATTACAAAGTATTTTCTTTGTAAGCTTACGTATGCTCATAATACTTTGTTATACAAACTACTTTTCTTTGTAAGGCCCAAAATAGTTTGTAAGGTTTTCTCAGTGCAAGATTCATGAAATGAACAATTGCCATATTTTCGACAAACTTTACTCATAAATTTAGGAATAAATTCGTAACTTTACGATGAAATCTTGATGTTACCGGCGAAAGATCGTAGTTTTACTGATAAAATCATTATCTTACGACTATTCTCGTTTTATCACGCGTAATCTTGTTTTCTTGCAAATCGAGCTGTATTTTTATGAATAGTTGCTTGTTAAATCTGTACCACGAACTGCACTGTTTTTTTTTACAAAGTTAATTGTAAATTGACAAATTGTTCATCATTTTACAAACTGCTTCTTAAATTTACAGGTGAAATCGTTAATTTACAAGTATGATTGTAAAAGCACGTCTGAAAAAATGCGTTTTCGTCCGTTGTTTCCTTACTATATAGGAAGAAAAAATGCCTGAAACGACCAAAATTTGAGGATTAAGTTTTTAAGTTAAAGAATATTTTTGTAAATCGACGAAAAAAAGATGATCAGATTCTTTTTGAAATTTACGAGCAGTTCGTGGTACAGATTTAACAGACAATTAATCGTAATTTCACAAAATAATCCCGAACAGTGCAGACCAGACTTGTTGGCCAGACAGAAGATGTCTCGTAGTGTTCCGGATTGGATGGGCGGTCAAAACCCGATCACTCCAGAGCGACTCTAGAACTCGGCCGGTGAATGCAGTGCCAGCCGCAGGCACTGCCGACGGGATAGCTTAGGCCCTACGCCAGCCTACTGACAGTGCCTGCGGGCGGCACTGCATTCACCGGCCGAGTTCTAGAGTCGCTCTGGAGTCATCGGGTTTTGACCGCCCACCCAATCCGGAACACTAATGTCTCGTCACAGAATGGACAGACACAAAGGTCTGACTTCATGTCTCGCCCTTTTCACGAACAAATCTTTCCATACAATTTGCAGTGAGAAATGTTGAAAAAAAAAGCACATGATTCCTGAGTCAAAGAGTATTTGAAACAGACGAAAGTGCGTCTGGATGAGATACGCCTGGGAAAATCCTTAAAATGTTGCCGGTGCTAGTAACGGTTTTGTTCTTCAACTTGCTCATCGATCGACGACGCCCGGAATCAGGTGCGGATTCGGTGCGTCGTCGCCCCAGAAAGGCAAGAAAGAATGGCCCCTGTAGATAGGCTTCTTTAATGACATCACCACCCCAACGCTGGATCCGCTGCTGACTAGATTTCCCTAAACCATCTAGATGATCTGCATTTGCAGACTGGATGTCTGTTAATAGCTTCTGACAAAATTCGTCTCAATTTTCAAACTTTTATTTCTACAGTGCACTGTAAAAAATTATTGTGAATTTACGAATTTTTTTTTTACAAATTCTCTGTGAAGTAACAATAACATTTCGTTATTTTATGAAATTTATTTGTAGAGGCCGTTTTATAAATTATTCATCACGGAAATCTTCTTAATTTTATGAAATTTGTTCGTTAACACCGCCTTATGAAATGGTATGAACAAAATACATCTCAAACGTGACTAAAATACTACAACAATGTCACAAAAACATGAAAAGTTTCCTAAAATTACAACAAATGCTTGGGTAATTCCGTTGCACAAATCGCTTGTAAGATTACGAGATATGGTGATGCCTTCCTCATTTTACAAGATGTTTCATAAAACAAAACAAAAACGCTGAAATAAGTTGATCTCCATTTAATCAGCGTGACAAGGTAGAACATAAGCGGTCCACGTAATTTGGAGCGTGTAAAAAGTTTGTAATTTTACAAATTACTGCGTGAAGAATAATTCATAAATTGTAAAGAAACAAAATGACGTTGTAAATTTACAGATAATTTGTGCAACGAAATTACCCATAAATTGTTTGTAAATTTACGAACTAATTTTTTACAGTGTGAAATACTGGGCGTCGTGGTCTCCCAGAAATAGCTCATTGGAATTTTGAGAGAGTGTCTGGCGTAACAGTGCACCGGAAGTCGGGTCGCGTGAGCCGCCTTTGAAGAATGGCGGCTACGGAGAAAGCAAGAGGGTCTTCCGATAGGCCGACGTGACCCCGCTTCCGGTGCACGCGATACTGCGAGGGATCGGAGTAGTCCTTATTATTTTCACCCCTATCATTCATCATGATTCATCGTTGTCACGGTACAATGGAATTTCGGGGCAGCCCTAGCACGGAAGAAGAACAAAAACGGAAGTTACAAACGACAGTTTATAAGAGAAATTTACGCTGCAGATGCTCATACGCAGCGCAAATTTTTCATAAAAACTGCCAAAACTTACGTTTTTGTTCTTCTTCGGAGCCAGGGCTGCTCCGAATCACCGTATAGGGTGCTTAAGAGGAAATCCAAACCGGAAGTGAACGGGAGAAACGAACGAGCCTCGCGCGTCCTTGCCGGACAGTGGTGGGAGCCGGAATGGGCAGAGTGGGGGTAACGAGCGACGCCGCCTGCATTCAACGAATTCGAAGCCCCACCACCGCCCAGCACGGCCGCGCGACGCCCTTTGGTTACTTCCGTTCTATCGCTGACTTACGATCTAGGCTCTAATTCCGGTGGAATCATGATAGAACAGAAACGCTCTACCGGAAATACCAGGAATTGAAAATTAACGGCAAGCCCGAGTCTTTCCTGGGTGAAGAGAAGTTGAAACTAACGTATCGAACGTTCGTTAAATACAATCAGATTGATAACATGTTACGCTATTTCACCTCGTAAGATCGAAATACCCAAATTTGAAAGCCACGCCGACCCTTAAGGATAACCTTAAACCCTTGCAGACGCGAGTGAAGTCACACGTCAAATAGACCAAGGCTGAAACGTGCCAGCGTCCGCTGAAGATGTTACTTCGAATGTAAATCACAGCAGCAAACACTAGCTTGTACCGGTGACGGACAACCTAACAATCGGGTACTTCGGAGAAGAGCTGGATCGGAAGTGGAGAAGAAATCAAGAATAACGAACGCCGGGCGTCTTTGAGAATAAAACTCTGGAGAAGAGGCAGATCCGCGACGGAAACGTTTTTTCTCACAAATTTCGCGGGTTTTCTTCTTGATTTCTTCTCAACTTCCCTGCGCCCCATCTCAAGATCGAACCATGTAACCCATCGGATGGCAAATCTTTAGTGAAAACCTTCAGCGAAGTTGTTTACAAATCCAGTTAGATGTTGCGCCTCCCAATAAGGTCCCTTCAATCTTGGAATTTAAAAGGCTATACTACCACTGTAAAGCAAAAAGTTCAAATTGAAAACGAGAAATCAATTTGTGCTACAGGAAGGGACTATTTGCTCAAGGATTCCTGGTCCGGCTCGGCCGGCAGCTTGAGCCCGGACAACAGCGGACTGATTCCGACAATCGATTTCCTCACTCTGTCGCTTTCGCACCTTCAGAGCACCCCGTTAGTGAAAGAAAGACAGTGTCGAAACTGACTCTCGGGATCAGTCTGCACTGCTGTGTAGGCCCTCAAGTAATCCGACTCCGCAAAACACGCAGAGAGCGGTCGGTCCGTGGCTGGCGGCCTGGCGTGGACGAACATACAGAACGTGTGCGCCGTCTCGGAGATCACTTGCATTTGAGAAATACTTCGTTTCCGTCCGTTGGTACACACGCAACACTCACCGGTTCGTAAAAGATGAACGCCTGTTGTAAGAGGCCGCATACACTGGCACTGGCTGCCGAATCAAAACAACACTGATGCGTCGCTGTGCGGCGGACAAGCAACGGCAGGCTGCTGCAGGTGCTGACGCCGCCGTCACCTTCCTGTGTCGACTCGGCCGGCGACACGGCGGGGCGCGGAGGGGAGAAGGGGGTCTCAAACATCTATCGAAAGCCGAGCCGGTGTGTTGCATTCAGGGTCTCGAGTTACTGAGCAGGCACAGCGCTCTACCGCGCCACAAACAGAACCGGAAAACCAGTTTAACGGAAAACCGCTCAGCCTCTCTTTGGCCAAAAGCTACGGAAAATTCTGCAAATAGCTTGTGGCAATCCGTAGCTCCTTTGCCATTATTCTCCGTAGGACCGTATAGTTTTCTCCTTAGGACGTGAACAGTGATCTCGGGAGGACCATACAGACTTCGATCTCGGAGCGGGACCGTACAGTCTTACAGGTTCTACGAAGAAGGCTGCACGCTACGGTGAATTCTGTACCGTCCTACAGAGAATACTGTAGATCCGACGGATAATGATGTTAAGAGGGGGCAACGGAGAATTTTGGCCAAAAATTTACCAGACTTTTCCGTACCTTTTTGCCGCAGTGGCCCACAGAAGACGAACTTGAGTTAGCCTTTGAAGACAGCTTGTGCGCATGCTCACCGGGTAGTGAGGGTAAACCCTGACGAATTCCGGTGACAATGGCGTGTCCCAACTGCAGGCCTTGACCACTCCCGCCATATCCTCGGATTCCGAGTGCGGAACCACAAGATCCAGGAAGATTTTTTACCCTGGACGTTTCAACTTTTCGACTCGAAGAACTAGGCGTGCCGCAGAAGCGCCTGCCCGGAAGTTGAACAGTGCCGGAAGGGTGAAATGATTGGCTGAGCGATAGCGAAGCCCGTTACTCCAGTGGGTTTAAAAACCTTTTCTGTTTGAGTGTGTGTGTGTGTGTGAGCGCGCGCGCGCTCTTCTCCTGAACGGCTCGGCCGATCTGGCTGAGATTTTGCAGGGTCATTAGGTATGTCCTTGGCTCGCCACACACAAAAATTCAGCTTTCTATCTCAATCCATTCGGTCATATTAGCAAAAAAACACTCTAAAAACGGCAGAAAAAAGACAACTTTTTTGGCACTTTCATTTTTTTGACAAGTTTCATGTCGTTTCCTACGTTTGGGAGGATGCTGATGACGGAAACGGAACCCATTCTGACCCCGACCTGAAGATAAGTCCCATTAGTAAAGATTTTGGTCACCAAATTCTACTTTTTGGGGGATCACGCTCATTTCTACGGTTTGCCTAGGAGAGTAGCCAGCCGAAGGCAGGCTAGCGCCGCAGGCCAAGGTAGGTGTATACGCCAGGCGTGGATTGTCGAAACTGGCGCAGCATCGCGAAGCCTGCTACGACAAGACACGGTCTGGCGTACATTAGGGTGGGCCGTAAAACACGATTTTTCGATATCGCAAACGTAATAGCGCGTCAAAGTTACTTCGTGGCAATACAAACTGAACGCGATCTGAGCTAGGTCAGTAACTTAAAGCTCGACCCTCGCGCATCGACCTAGAAAATTTGAAAATTCGACTTTTACGGGTTTTTCTAAAAACAGCCAGATGTCCAAATGATGTTTCCGAGACGGAAGTGGAAACGTCTGATCATGCTTTATCAGTTAAAGACCACCGGGACCCTCTCCGAGCAGTGGGAGACCGATGGGAGAAAAACACAAAATTGCCATTTTTTATCGTTTTTCCCAAAATGCCAAAAATGCCTTCAAGGTTTGATACGGCCATCCTGACGTCACCGCACCCAAACCATACCCCGAATCTTCTCTAAAGACCCTTGTCCCGTTTTCAACGCACGGGGTACGCCGGGGTACACTGGTTAAACTACAGCGTAAATCCATGCTTGAGTCAAGCATAAAGTTACGCTTGACATGAAGCCTACACTAGTGACTCCATCATCATCGACGCAGTTAGGCCTCTGCAGACCTTTAGCGGTTCAAGTCAGCAAGGCACTCCGACCTCGCGCGGCCTCTCCGCAACCTCAGATGCGGTCGGATTTTTGCAAAGTCATCATGCCCGCTGCCCTTCTGGGGAGCATGGGGTCAGTCTCCCAAGCTAAAAGTTATACGAGTCTATTTCTTTGACCCGAATTTTGACTCGTCCGAGCTCACTAACCCGAAAACACGCCGTAAAAATTAATATCCGGAATAAACGACGGGTCCTTCGGCAAACAAATTGCCAACGGTTCCTTCGTTAATTTACGAAGCTCTTCGTATATTTACAAAAACCTTCGTTAATTTTTTGAAAGATCTCTGCCGATTTTACAATCACAATGGAAATTTACGAAGCACCTTCGTAAATCTACAAAGATCCTTCGTAAATTTACAGGGAACCTTCGTTTATAAACAAACAACCTTCGTCAATATACAGAGATTCTTCGTAATTATACGTCTGGAATTAACAGATCCTCGGAAAGTAACAATGAACATCTTCCTTCAGTTTATATAGAAGGTCCCCGTAGATTTCGAAGACCGTGTGTTAAGAATTAATTACACAGAATTTTTAAATTTATCGATTTTTTCGTAAATTCACAAAGCCTTCAGTGAAATGGTACGAACAACCTACGATTCTCAAAAGTTCCCGTGGACAAGAAACTTTACAGGCACAATGGTCACAAAAACCCTTGAAAATATTCCTGAAAATTACAACATATTCTTACAGGGTAGGATTCTTGCAAGATGCGGTTAGTAAGATACACATTCCACTGGCGTGCCTTCGAGGTTGCTCATTTTAGCAAGAATTCATACCAGTGAACCAACCAGACATGTGGCCAAAGCTGAAAATTTAACAGTTAATTCTCCGAGTTTAGACTCGCAGTGACTACAGGTAGAACTTAAAGTTTCCGGTCCACGGGTCACTTGCGGTCCTACGAGAAGTTCTGTACTTACGAAATACTGCGTAAAATAATTACAAAATTCGTTAATTGAATATTGCAAAAGGACGTTGTAAATTCACAGAAATTCGGGCACTGAAATTACCATAGAATGTTCTGTAAATTTACGGACCTAATTGTTGTACAGTGCAAATTCGTTCGTATTATACGTCTGGAATTAACGACGGATCCTTCGGCAAAAAAATTGCCAACTACTTCCTTCGTTTATATACGAAGGTCCGCCGTAGATTTACGAAGACCCGTCGTAGATTAACGAAGCCCGTCGTAAATTTGCGAATCTTCCGTAAAAAACAGATTTTTGTAAATTTTACGATTTTTCTTCGTAAATTCTACAAAGAACATTGTAAAAACGACGAACCTACGTTGACTTACAAAAGTTCCCGTAGGAAAGAAACATTTACAGTGCACTTTTGGACATTCCCAAAAACCCTTCGGAAAATATTCCGTCGTAAATTCACAACATATTTTTTACAGTGTAGGATTCATGAAGATGCGGGTTAGTGATACACTTATTCCACTGGCGTGCCCTTCGGGTTGCTGACAATTCAGCCTAGAGACAATTCAGACCAGTGAGACACAACCAGACACTGTGGCCAAGAGCTACGGAAAATTCTGTTAACAGCTTGTGGTAATTCTCCGTAGGCTCTTACGGTATTCTCCGCAGGACCGTACAGTATTCTCCGTAGGACCTTACAGTGTTCTCCGGAGGACGTTACAGGCTTCCAGGCCCTACGGAGAACACTGTGCGGCCCTACGGAGAATCCTGGCAAAAAAATTGACAAAATTTTCGTACCTTTATGTGACAGTGGAATATTGCAAAAGGACGGAACTACTTCAAGAAATTCGGGCTAGTGAAACTGTCTTATAGGATGTTCGGACTAGTGAAATTTCGGCCTAGTGATGATTGAGGTTAGTGACAATTCGGGCAAGTGATAATTCGCGTTAGTGAAGAACTCCCAGTTATGATAAATATTATGGTGCAAAACAAATGTTTCCAATCGCGGCTTGGGGGGGGGGGGGGGCAAAACTACTTCCTCCCCCCCTCTTAATTCCTAGATAGCCGTCATTTAAAGTTTCGTTATGCACTATATTGCTTCGGCTGCTGCGTTCGCTCCGTAACATGTGTGGTCGAATTCGTTGCCAGTTGCAAAAAACTGACGTATTTTCTCTGTATTACAAACGGTTTTCGCACCATCTTGTTGGCTGCACATCCTTTCTTCGTAAGGAACTAAGTGTGTGGCCTGCAAGCTTTTCAGTTGGTGGGGAAATGGATTGGAGAGTGGCCCCGTCAAAACTGGTTTCCGACTTGGGGCGTGGTGGATGGTGGAGTGGCGTAGGTCTGCGCCAAAAACCGTTGCGAGTCGCAGTCCGGTCCCTTTTAAGTAAAGGAAACATTTATTCCCAACTTATCTTTAGAAGTACAATAGGTAGAAAAACTGAGATCAGAGAAGATACTGTTGTAGCAGATGTGGAAGGTGCGACATAGGGCACTTTTCTGGAGTTGGCCAATTTTATGAAGAATTCTGACGACTGTTTGAGAGTTCTGTCTAGAGACCCTGACTTGTAGTCCACGTAAACGAGACCAAACGGGCGACTGAAACACGAAACAGAAGTGGGTGAACATCAGTCCTTGACGTTAAAAAAAATAATACATCATACATATTTGTCGTTATAGGAATATTGCCCTTTTCCTGTGATACATTTGTGGACAGATATTTCTTGGCCAATACTTTTTGTATCGTCATAAATTGGCCTGACAATTTCTGGCAGGTCAAATTTGACGGCGCGACTTATCTTGCTTCCGAATTGTGGCGATGAGGCCTCTCTGCGATCTTTTAAGTGCGTGAAAGTACTTACTTGAAGCCAGCACTCCACTCGAATGCATCAATTAAACTCCAGGCACAGTAGACCCACACTTTGACGCCATAGTCGCGTATTGTGGAGACCAGATTGCGGAGGTTGACCTGAAATAATAATAACACTAAATGTAGTCCGCACAGAGAAACTACACAAACTCCAGCTTCAGGTACACCCCACCTGGAGCACACTTGACATGAGCCCGCCACGGTGGAGCATATATTTGTCAAGTACACGCCAAATGGCTCATATTATACTCGCATGTACACTGCTGGTCTGCTGAGCATATAAAAGGTAGAAAACTTAAGCATGACAGCGTATATGCAAGTATAGCGTTTACCAAGCCTGGCGTGTTCTGAGCAAGCATGCTCCAGCGTGGCGCGTACATGCCTTCAAGTGGTCCAGGTGGCGGGAACATGCACTTCAACTGATAGCATGCTATGTACACACTTGTGCAAATTTGAGCACACTTGGTGCTAATTTGACAGCGGGTACGTCTAGTTTAGGGGGGTGCTCGGCGTGTTGGGCGTGCTTGGCGTGCTAGGCTCTGCTCGGCGTGCTGAGGCGCAGTTGAAACGTTGTAGGCCCTTGCTGCAAGGCGGTGCTGCGGAGCGAACGAAGATTTAAAAGTGTAGTGGTGTAGTGGCGAGTGGCGTCGTCTGCAGTGCTTAGGTTGTCATCAATTCTGTTGCTTTAATTAAACTGAAGTTGTTCGACATTTTCACACTTAACACCGCAAAGATAACCTGCCACTCGCCACTACACTTTTAAATCTTCGTTCGCTCCGCAGCACCGCCTTGCAGCAAGGGCCTACAACGTTTCAACTGCGCCTCAGCACGCCGAGCAGAGCCTAGCACGCCCAACACGCCGAGCACCCCCCTAAACTAGACGTACCCAGCATCGGTTGGTGTGGTCTAGACCACGTTTAGTGAGAGGCATTTTTTTAAAGAAGTCCGATCGTGGAACACGACCGATGCCGATTTCCTCCATTTTTTGGTCAAAGGTAGTCCTTGTGGGTCTAAGAAAGGCCACAAATTTTTTGGGCCGAAATATGCACCGTTCAGATTCTATGGGCAATTTTCGTTTTCTCTGACATCTTTTCACATAATATGGCCAAAATTGAAAAATCACCTTTCTGAGGCCTCTATGCACTCGATTGAGCTCAAAATGTGGTATCTTATGTAAAATCACGCGAGGAACACGAATCCGGTGCCCGTTTGTTGATAGGACAACCCAAACAGATGTTATGACTGTTTTTCAGGTTTTGTAGTGGTTTTTACTTTTCTTGGGGTTTTGGTGTTCGGCATCGATTTTCGCCAATCCGATGAGTGGATTTTATAGATAAAGGACCAATCTATCATACTACGAGATAAAAAGTTTGTGTACGCCACGTGAAAAGCAGTGGCGCTGCAAAAATTGAAAAACCGTCATTTCTGGGTAGTTTTAGATCAGATAAGCCACCTTTCGCGTGACCGTCTCCGCCCCATATTCAGTCTAAATATTGTCCCAAGTGATGTCAGGGTTGGTGTGAAATTTCACCGCTGTAGCTCAAGTAGTTTGGAAATTGCAGCTTTCTAAAGTTTTGCAATCACGTAAGGCATTTACTTTAAGTAGAATTGCGGTAAATGTGAAGACTTGTCACAGATCGGGTAATTAATGAGATAGATGAGTGCGTCAAAGTTCTCTAAGCGTAATTTTGGCAAGGAATCCGATTTTACCGCACGGTACAACGACCCTAGGTCGATACCTTAAGTCAGAAAACTTACCATTTTACCGTATGCAATACGTAAAACGTATTGAGCCTATTTTACGTACTCGAATCTTCGGAGTTGCTCCTAGGCGGGAACATGCGCTTAACTGATAGCATGCTATGTACACTTGTGCAAATTTGAGCACACTTGGTGCTAATTTGACAGCATCGTGTGTGTCTAGACCACGTTAGTGAGTTTCGTGTGGTTATTGCGTGAAAAGAAAACACCACACTGGTAGCCAAGGAATGTGACGTCACGTTTGTTTTCACGTGAAAACGGCGATGTTAGTTTGAGCGTGACAAACGGTGAAAATTTACAGTCAAACGAACGTGACATACCGCACCGCTTTGTCACATTACTTCGGGTGTGACACGCAATCAGCTGTCGAACTGTCACATTAAACGAATGTGACACATGGTACCCAAGTACACATGTAATGTAGTGTCACATCCAAAACGAATGTGACATGCCCACTATGTCACATTTAAACGAACGTGACAAAGTGGGCATGTCACATTCAAACGAACGTGACAGTACATGGATGTCACATTCGTTTGGATGTGACACGACATGTGTACTTGAGTACCATGTGTCACATTCGTTTTGATGTGACAGTTCGACAGTTGATTGCGTGTCACACCCGAAGTAATGTGACAAAGCGGTGAGGTATGTCACATTCGTTTGACTGTAAATTTTCACCGTTTGTCATGCTCAAACTAACATCTCTGTTTTCACGTGAAAACGAACGTGACGTCACATTCCTTGGCTACCAGTGCAAACGTGATCTAGACCACACCAAACGTGGCCAAACGTGGTCTAGACCACACCAACTGATGTGGTCAAAATGGCAACCGTTTGACCACACCACCAGTGGCGCGGTCTAGACCACTTTTGGTTTTTGAGTGCTATGTCGTTACCACGGGCGTCCTGGGTCAACCAGGGACCGTTTTACTGTGCAGGCTTAAACCCATCACCACGTACAAAATAAACATACAGCGTGTATAAAAGTTACCCCAAGGAAGTACTCATCGTGCGAAAAAAAATTAAACACGTTCGAAAGGTTTCGAGCGATTATGTCGGACAAGAGTAGATTTGTGTGGACCAAAAGAACTGGAATCTTTCGGAAAACCACTATGAAAGCACAGCAGTTTTTTTACTGTGGAAGTGCTGTATTTCAAAAGATACCGTAAACCGGGGTAACTTGAGACAATATTTCACGTTTTTTGGACCGTGTGTCCACAACACTTCTCTCACCAACCCGAATCCCAACTATGTTTAATTTCACATGATAACATTCGGTTTGGACCCCATGAAGTATTTGGGGGTCACCTAAAATGTAATGTGTCACCTAATGGGTCACCTAAAATCTAAAATGTAAAACTGTAATGGGCCTCTAAAGTTGTCTTAAGTTACCCCGTCATGGGGTAACTTGAGACACACCTAGTTTTTACTTTCCTTTTTCACGGAAGTGGGGTTTTTGCCAGTCCATACTGATTTTCTGGGACATTTAACTTATTTTCAATGAAAATTAGTACTTGTGGAATATATTAGAAGAATTTTGATCCTTATATTAAGAATTTTTCATCAAAGTTACATTTGGTAATTTGAGGGATAACGGCACTTCGGAAGGGCAACGATTCTCCCATTTCACATACAACCCTGTCAACTAAGTACAGCGATTCTCTCATTTCACATCCAACCCTGACACCTGTTAAGACATTTTTCTTTATTTTTACGTACACAAGTTCATTCCTGCAAAGATACATCGTCTTAGGCAATTTTTAAAATTTACTCAAAATCCTTTAACCATATTTTTACAGTTGTTTTTCTTCGAAAAATCGACGGTTCTTGGGCTATAAGTTGTCCGATTTCAATGACATTTAGCTCGTTGGAAAGGTAATTAAATTCGCCATCTTTTGAGACTTCAAGGTTTATTATGTCTCATCTGGTCCGTGAGTAGTTGAGAAAACACTCCAACTTTAAGCTGCATATCCACTTGGGACCCTCTACACTGTCTAAAAAAAGTGATTCCCGATCAAATGCGGCTTAGTTTTGATCTTAGAACGGAGAGGTCCGTTACTTTAAACCACCCTGTAGCACAAGGAGGTGCCAGTGTCAAGTAACGCCACGCAGCTTCCGTCAAATACGATGAAATTTGGTGTCTCAAGTTACCCCGCACAGTTACCATTTTCTATAAAAGTCAGTATTACCCGATGAATGATGGGTTTCCGTCAAAACCAATGCTGCATTTAGAATGTTGAAATAATAGGGTTGAAAGATACTACGGCCAATTGGGTCTCAGGAAGACGTGTTTCGAGTACCTAGGGAGACTTGTAACACTTCTCTAAAACTGTTAAATTTACCAAAATTGAAAAACCGTTATAAAACTGACCAGCTTTGGTCCTAACCCGCCAATCAAAGGCTTAATCGTCTTTCCAAACAAGTGTGAAAAAAAGTGCTAGGGCAGTTTTGACCTCGGAATGTGCCGAGCCAAGTGGCAGCTCCAAAAATGTGGAAAAGCAGAAGTGTCTCAAGTTACCCTTGCTGTCTCAAGTTACCCCGGTTTACGGTAGTATTTAACGTGGGGATTGCTGTACTCCAAGTAGCAAGTGGCAAAGTGTTTGCTCAAAGAACGGGCTGTCTCGGACAAAAAAAAACATTAGAAAAGCCAAAAAAAAAAAAAAACCTAACAAGTTGTATTGCAGTGTCTTTGCTTTCGCAGTTCTTATGTTTCAATATTAGTACAAAGCACCCTTTAAGGTTTCGGCACGTCATCTGCGTGGAAAAAAAGACGGCAAAGCATCTCTGTGTACACGAAGAAAACGAAGGCTCAGTAAAATCTCATAAGAAATGGTTAATTAAGCGAAGTTCCTCGTAATACGAAAGCATTTCTTTTTATACTATAGTACGTCTTAGGTCGGCTTGTCCTTACGCTGAAGTAAGCCGCCCTGTCGTGGTCCTGCAGTCCCGCGCCGCTGTACCCGTTCTCCGTGATGACGATGGGCAGCCCGTACTGACTCCACGTCCACAAAAGCGATCGCGTCATGATCTCGGGTGAAATCTGAACGAATAATTCAGAACATCATGTTGTAAAAACTGGGCAGCGTCTTCGGGGGTTATTGGTGAAAATAAATAAACACGCCGATTGTCCTTTTGATTATCCTTCATCCTGACAACTTTTTGTTGATTTTTTTTTACCTTGTCAAACACCATGAGCGCAGTTCCATCCTTGTCAAATTTCACGAAAGGAAGATTTTCGAGAAGCTGATCATAGACCGGTGGAACGTTGTCTCGTGATGCATAGCCTGTACTGGAATACTCTGTCTTCACACCGTCGTATATGTTCAGCGCTATGAAGTCAGTGGAGCCTGCAAGAAATGGAGCGCGTGTTGGGTTATCTGGACAATTTTATCTGTGCAAAGGTATAAGGGCCGAAAAAGCACATGAAAGAATAAGGAAAGGTAGTTTTTTCCCCTCGTGTTGGCTGAGCGATAGATAACGAGGCCTGTTACTACAGTGGGGTTAAAAAAAAACTTTTCCTTTGTGTGTGTGAGTGTGTGTGTGAACTACTCCTGAACGGCTCGGCCGATCGGGCAGAGATTTTGAAGGCTCATTGGGTGTGTCACCGAATTTTGACCAAATTTGGACCAACATTTTTGAATACAGTTTGATGTTCATCGCAGTAGTTTTTAGTGTCCTGATATAACGAAAATCACTTCCATTTCCACTCCAGACTTATATTTTCATCGCATATTAGGTCATTTTGGACCAAAATCTTCAAGTCGAGTTTTTATTGTTTCCTGCAGTGTTTGGTGTGCTGAACTCAAAAATGACTTTCAATTTTTTCCAGACCCACGCATTACTACATTTTGACCAATTTTGGATCAAATTTTTTGAATTCAGTTTGACGTTGATCCCAACAGTTTATTTTTTGTGTGCCGATAACGAAAATAACTTCCATTTATACCCCAGACCTACATTTCACTCGATATTAGCCCATAAGTTGCAAATTTCGTCTACTTAAGGGGTGACGGACAACTCGCCCCGGTTAACTCGTTCCCGGTCTATCTCGCACCCGGTCTAAGCCGCCCCCAGTTTCATTAGAGACTCGCCCCAGCAGTTGTGCCAACTCGGTCCCAATGCTCATTTTTTAATTTCCCGCCAAATGCCCAACCGGCATGACTACTGGGCGATTCCATGCCAAACCAACGAACTATTGAAAATCCATCTCTTCGATTTGGATGAAACTTTTTTAGGGGTAGGGGTCGTTATGAAAAGACCCCATGTCAAAGGATTTTGCGATATCTCACCCCGTTTGGCTGTTGTGACATAGCAAAGTTTTCACTATGGTCAGAATCATATTTTCCTTATTTTTCACCGTACTTACTGAAAGTTTTTATATATTTTTCGGCAGTGCTTCTTTGCGTAAAAAGAGCTGGGAAACGCGATGGAAGTAGTTTCGAGACGATTGGGTGAAGTTTTGATGTCACTCTCTCCATTTAACTTAATTTTTTTTTCGAAAAATGGGTGTTTTCAAAATAGCTTATCTTCGATTTCGATGTGACTTTCCTCACATGATCCTCTCACGTATCGAAAGAAAATCCTAAAAGGATTTGGTCAGCCCACCGTAAGTTTTGTTTCTGGATACGAAAAGATGTATCATTTTGGCCGTTTTTCTTGAATTCTCGAACTGAGTCTGCGTCCAAGCTTATGACACGTGAGCACATAAGTTTTGTCTTGTCGAGACGAATCTGTTAAGGTATAGAAAAGTCATTTTGGACAATTTTGAAAAGTTACACCCTATTTCAGTATGAGAGAATTGGGGGCGACTTAAGGCGGATACCCCGGAGATCATTGGCCGCGCGGGTCCGGCCCCCGCGCGGAGTATAGCCGGGGCTGCTTTGGTCAATACTCCCCTCTCATCTCCTTTGCTAAAAGTGTGGCACTTTCCCGAGAGATAGCACCATTGTCAGCTACTTGCAAAAAAAAATGAGGACCAAATCCTGGTGACAAAGTCCCATCCTCCATGTGCATTTTCTTATTGTCAACGCAGCCCGTTTTGGCAGTGTAGACGCCGGGGCAGCCGAGGCGATCTCCGTCACCCTCGTCAAAGTGCACAAAGACGGCTTGACAGGTGTCTCTCTGCGGGCGTGCAGCAACGAACTTTCTTCAAATTTCAAATTTTCGAATTCGAACATGTTTTAGCTGTGTTCCTTGTTTCCTTGCGGTTTCGGCAGTATAAAACTTTACCCAAATAGAGGAAAATTGCATGCTCGCCTCCCTTCCCCCAACCGAGAAGTGGGCCGTCTGGGGCTGCCCCAGTGGCCGGGCGCGCTGCCGGTCCTCGCCTCCGAATCCTGGCGACTGCAGCGGGGGGAGGGGAGGGGGCACACGCGGAGGAGACAATAGATCGGAATGCAGCCAGGTGTCCATCACAAACTTGTCACGCCACACCGGCCAACCTCCGTGCAGTTCCGAAAACCTCCGCCGCGCCACCTCTCAGAGCGCCACGAGTCGACCGCCAAATTCAAAACGAGTATAAGCAGGGAAAAACAGTGCTTTTTTTGTGCAGCTCACCCTCAGAAAGTATCGATACCACAAAAAATCTGAAGGTAGATTTGTGTAGGGGAAAGACGTGCGCACACGTTATGGTACCTCTGGGAACGAAATTTCAGGGGCATGTCTGTCAAATCTGGAGTTGAACTTTGACCAAATTTTGGCCCAACTTTGACCAACTTTTTGGACTACATAGAGCTTCGCCCCGAACTTCGGAGGTGCCACAACGGATAGGCGCTCATTTTTACTGCCGGAATATGTTTTTAGTTTTGGTCTACGTTTCGTACTATTGGTGGGTGAGCTGCACGAAAATTAAGCAGTTCAACGCTCAATATCTCTGTTCAAATTTGAACCAGCGCGAAAAAAATTTGTGTAGTGCATCAGAAGTGTGTTTCGAACACGTGTTCAAAATTTGAGCCCAATCCGTTAACTTCAGTTTTAGGTGATCCTGCGCCTTAGCCTGGGGACCAAAGGGGCGGGACCGGGAAGGGAGTGGGTCGGGATAGACCGGGGACGAGTTACTTGGGGCGAGTTGTCCTAGATCCTACTTAAGCAAAGTCCGAAGTGCAGAGAATAATTCGCGTCGCTCAGCCACACGCCAGACGGCGCGTACCCCTAGTAAGGCCCCTCAAAATAGCTCCAAATTTGACGCCTTACAGCTTCTGAACAGTTTGAGCTGTAGGAACGTGGGCGAGTGCTCATTGGCTTTATTGGCTCTTTTTCTACAAGGTTGCGTCAACGGATCGTGGAGGAAAAAATATTTTTGACCATTGCCCCAAGATTTGAGTTTTAGGCAAAGTTTGCTTCTTTTGAGTAAATATCTCTCAAGATATTGGTCCGAGGTCAAATCTGTGGTCATATTCTTGTGCCTTGGTAAATTCTACACGAGATTGCCAATTTTAAGCCTCTTAGCACTTAAAACTTTGGACTAGTTAAGGAACTTCCGAATTGAGGAAAAAAAGTGGGAAATTCAGAACACATTTGTTTTTGCGGCCAATACATTTTATAGCGACCTAATATTTTAGGATGTTTTAGAATGTTATTTTACAATGCAACATAAGTGCATTTTAGAAAAAAAATCGGTCAAAATCGAAAGGGGTCATGGGAAGGCGATGCATGAATTAAATAAATCAGCTCATAGCTGGCCAACGCGAAGCACGTGTCACGGTTTTCAAAAACTCTACTCGCCAGGACCCAAGGAGACCAACCAAACTTGCCAAGCCGCAGCGCTCGGAATGTAACGTAGGGCATCTTGACGGGTTTTGTGTGAGAGTTAAGACGGCCTCCTTGCAGCTTGGCAAAGTACAGTGGCTTTTGGGGGTCGACGAGACGGTGCAAGAAATGCTCTTGTGTTTTGAACCAGCGCAGATCAAAAAACTCATTTTTGTTCGAGGAAACCTACCCTCAAGTTCTGCTTTCTCTTCTGGGGTGAAGGGGATGAACTGATCGCTAGGCGTTAGTTTCTTGACGAGGTCGGGGTAGTCTCCGTACACAACGGGGTGAAGCACCTGAAATTCCAAGTATGACTTAGAGAGTTGGACTCCACTTTCAACATTTCCATCGAATAAATTCGTATCCCGCCGAGAACGGTATTTCCGAGAATACTGTATCACTTCGTTGCTGTCTACAATGGTATCTTGCAGTACGTGGGTAAAATTATCTTAGCCGTGTATGTGCTTAACACTCAAGATTCCTCTTTTAGAATTTTGTTCGCGGTCTCAAATAATTTGGCACATGCGTGCGACAAACTGAGATTAATTAACTTAAGTTACGCACGCTGTTCCGCTATTTCACGCGCAAATGCATAGGGAAGATTTCACTAGCCCAAAATTGTTTTATTTTATGTTACGGTGTATGAGGACAAAATACATTCACTGTAAAAGCAACCGGCCGAGCCGAGCGATACTCAGCGCCCGGGGCAGGAACGACTGAAATTGACTCACCTGTCCGCAATGTAGCTGGTTGAAAGCATCGGCTGCGTAAATGTCTTGTTGCGACGCGGTTTGAGGCTCCGCGTGTATAAGGAGGGCCGTCGCTCCAACCCGACCTGCAAAACAGCAAAAGTCATGTGCTTCGGAGAAGAGCTGACGCGGAAGTTGAGAAGGGGTGAAGACTCAACCACTCGAGAAATCCTGTGTCCCCTAAAGCCCTAAAAATCTATGGGAAATCCGAAATCTTTCCACTGAAAACGTTGGTCGGACACAGCTAAATAATGGCATGACAAAAAGTCACGCCAAACATTGGCGTGACACGAAATTTACGCCGATAAACGGTGTCACAGGTGAGTCACGCCCTTATTGGGCGTGAATGACAACGCGTTTTAAGAGACAAGTAAGTCATGCCAAAAAGCGGCATGACAAGAAATTCACACCAAAAATTGGCGCGAATTTTTGAGTCACGCCGATTTTTGGCGTGACTTTTCTGTTATGCCGTTTTTGGGCGTGACACTTAATTCACGCCCCTGCAGCGGCACGAAGTCACGCCGATACATTTTCAGTGTCCCCAAAAAGGCCAAAAACAAAAAAAAAAGGTCTTTATCTAAAGACCAGGTGGCCAGATTCTAAATTCCTGTCTTCCCTCACTGAAAATCTACCGGCGTGACTTCGTGCCGCTGCAGGGGCGTGAAGAAAGTGTCAGGCCATTAAACGGCATGACACAAAAGTCACGCCAAAAATCGGCGTGACTCCAAAATTCACGCCAATTTTTGGCGTGAATTTCTTGTCATGCCGCTTTTTGGCGTGACTTGCCTCAGAAAACGCGTTGTCAATCACGCCAAATGAGGGCGTGACTCACATGTCACGCCGTTTTTCGGCGTGAATTTCGTGTCACGCCAATTTTTGACGTGACTTTTTGTCACGCCATAATTTGGCCATGTGTCCGACCATTACGTTTTCAGTGCTTGCTGAGACTGTTCCTTTGACTGTTCGATGTGGTGCTGACAAGTTTGCAACTGCCTCCCTCTACTCTGCAGGGTTGCGTTTAGAAAGTCACCTAAAATGACGTTCAAAAAGGTGATTTTGGCACCCCTGATTGTGGGCCAAGCAATCACCGCAGTTACTTCAAAATTTTTCATCGTGCACTTTAGACCGACTTCTTTGATATATTGGGACTACTAAATGCATACCGGGAAACGCTCTCAAAAGGTAGGCAACCCATCGGGCTTCGATGTCAGTTTTTCCGCTTTTTTCATGATTCAGCTGATCAGATTGGTTCAGCTTGTGATTTTGATCAATCTCTAACCCAGCAAATTGAATCCGGCCCGCTGAATCATGCAGTAAAAGAATCACTGACATCGAAGCCCGATGGGTTGCCTACCTTTTGAGAGCGTTTCCCGGCAGGACCGTGAGCAGGAGTTCGAAACTTGCGCTAACTGTCTGCAAACGCGTGATAGGAAAATTCTGAATTTTTAGGTGTCTGATAAGGAGGCCTTGGCGCATCCAATGCCGCGGTCGGCATGGCCGTAGCCCTACTGATTCACCCCCTACAAGGGCGCAAACACAGGGGTTGTTTTTTCGTCGAAACACAGTTTTTAGGCTAAAAATCGTGAAGAGACCTTAATTCAAGGGTTAAAAAGCATGTACCCGATGGCTTTGGCTGTCTGGAAGGCCCACCCAGCGGCGCGGCTGTTTTCAACCCCTCCGCTTGGGGGTTGTGCACCCCTAACTTGGGGGTGTCTTTGCGTGGTTCCAAGGGCGCAGCTATCGACATGGGACCTTTTCGAAGCTGTTCAGGGTCACGTCTACCAACACCCTGTTGAGTTTCATCCCCATCCGAAAAACAGAAATTCCTCAAATCGCAGGGGGTTGAAAGGGGGTGAAGTGTTCCGGCCTCTCCGAGGGTGATTACACTGAAAACGTAATGGTCGGACACATGGCCAAATTATGGCGTGAATTTCGTGTCACGCCAAAAATTGGCGTGACACGAAATTCACGCCGAAAAACGGCGTGACATGTGAGTCACGCCCTCATTTGGCGTGATTGACAACGCGTTTTCTGAGGCAAGTCACGCCAAAAAGCGGCATGACAAGAAATTCACGCCAAAAATTGGCGTGAATTTTGGAGTCACGCCGATTTTTGGCGTGACTTTTGTGTCATGCCGTTTAATGGCCTGACACTTTCTTCACGCCCCTGCAGCGGCACGAAGTCACGCCGGTAGATTTTCAGTGTACGGGGTGCACAGGCTCAGACGCGGTATCCTCTTGATCAGGGTGACCAAGAGGATGACGCCAGCCCGATCTCAGGGCTGTACCTCAAGAATTGTGGATTTTGAAGGGGGTGGGGGTTGTAGGGGGTGGGTTTGTCCTAGAGGTCTCCCGGGGGTCGCATTTTGTAGAGGACGTCAAGGGCAATCGCTCTGTACCGTTTTCCGATTCTTTTGAACCCCGAGAGCCAGGCTGGCCGCTTCTAAAGTTGCATTTTTTGCACTTCAAATTTGCTGGGGGGTAAACCACCCCCTCCCGGTCCAACCTCGTCAGTGCAACTTTGCACGCGTTTTCAGGACACTTAAAGGCAACTTGTGTCAAAGTTGCAGCCTTCTAGCTCTGAAACTCGAGATTTGAGGTCACTTTAAAAAAGTGTCCCCTTAATTTTTTCCGCCAGTGTATTAAATGGAGCTGAGCACACTCTCGTTAGCGTGTACTCATCTAGGCACACTGTCGTTGGAGTGCACTCATCTAAGCACACTCTCGTCAGAGTGTACTCATCTGAGAACACTCTTGTAGGAGTGTACTTGTGAGTACACGGTGAATAGAGTGTGCTGAGCACACTGTTGAGTTTGCAGAGCAGGTAGGGTGGCAAACGGTGGTACACCACGAAGGTGTCACAAAATGACCCCTCCCAGGAAAGAGTGTATGCGATTTCCAGGGAGTTCCTGGGAAAACCAGGTTACATTTTTTACGTCTCTGTACCGTGCTTTAGGGGGTTTCCCCCTTTTAGAAAGCGATGTTTTTTTTAAGTATACCTCTAAGAGACCAACGGTACACTGAGAATGAAAAAGTCATGATCGATACCCAATGTTGGGCGAAGTATACATACTTTATCACCCAAATGTGGGCGAGGATTCTTTCTTTGCCCAATTTTGGGCGAGGAAGACTTCCTCGCCCAAAATTGGGTGAGGAATGGTGCATCAGCTACCTAAGGGAAGGTGGGGTACCATGTGACGGTTTTTGTTAAGTGCCCGTCAACCCAATACTACCAATCATATTACATACATAAGCAGTCATGTGAACAAAATGATTCTTCACCTTAAAATTTCTGTTGAGATTTCTAATTTATCTGCTTTGGTTGCTGAGTTATCCCGAGTTGAATGGGCCAAGTCAAAGTGTCACTTCGTACCCCACGTAGTACACTATGTGACAGCCTTCGTGCACCATGTGACAGTGGCCTTTTGTCAGGGTTTAAGGGGGCTCATACATGTTAAACACACTTTGTAAAAAAAATTTTTTTGATGTAGATGGATTAAGATTTTACAATTTCTGTGTTAAAACCCTTTTAGATAATTGAGTAAGCTTCATTTTGGCTTAAAGGAAAGTGACTTTGGACATTTTTTGGAGATTTAGTCGAAACGTTTAAAATTTTGGTTCTCGTAAGATTTTGTTCGCATACTTGCTCAGATCTGTGGGGAAAAAATCAGGGAGACTCATCCCTAGTAGTGTCATAGAATTGACTACAATGGGCTTTATATCTGCAATAGTTTTCAAGAAAAAAAATAAAAACAATTTTTTGTTAAAAAATTTGTTCAAAAAATTGTTAAAAAAATTGTTTTTATTTTTTTTCTTGAAAACTATTGTAGATATAAAGCCCATTGTAGTCAATTCTATGACACTACTAGGGATGAGTCTCCCTGATTTTTTCCCCACAGATCTGAGCAAGTATGCGAACAAAATCTTACGAGAACCAAAATTTTAAACGTTTCGACTAAATCTCCAAAAAATGTCCAAAGTCACTTTCCTTTAAGCCAAAATGAAGCTTACTCAATTATCTAAAAGGGTTTTAACACAGAAATTGTAAAATCTTGATCCGTCTACATCAAAAGAAAATTTTTACAAAGTGCTTTTAACATGTATGAGCCCCCTTAAATCCTATTCAGCGTATCTATACGCAAAGAATGAATGAAGGAGTCTTCCAGCTTTTTGGCCCGCCCTTCTATTCAAAAAATAGGGGGGGGGGCTATGCATTTGCCTTTGTGTCTGTGTGTTGTTGTTGTTGTTGTTGTTGGTGTCTGTGTACAAGGAAGGAGTTGAGCTAGAGTAACCAGATTTGGAGGGTACTTCAGGAGTACCGTCCAAACAAATAATCCGGTGGTGCAAATCCCGTCCGGGTCGCACAAGGGCTGCTGCAGGTGCATCATGGTTTACATGAGCGGGAGGGGGATTTCCGCCATTATTGGTGCTAGCAGGGCACATAGGGGTATTTTTGGAATCGGGGCGACGAGACAAGATGAATGGACCTGGTCCCGACCCCATCGGCCGCTTTTACAAGTTGGCCAGATCAGGATCTTCAAAAAAGGGGGTCGACCGACTAAAAAAAATTATTGCAGATTTCGATTGGTCTCAGCAAGACCTTTTCAACGAGGGGTCGGAAAGGGGGTCCAGGAGCCCGACTTCGTCTATTAGTCACATCAGGATCTTGAAAAAAGGGGGTCGACCGACTGAAAATTTTTACCTAAGTTTTCGATAGGTCTTGGCAAGACCTCTTAAACGAGGGGTCGGAAGGGGGGTCCAGGAGCCCGCCTTCATGAGTTATGGGGAAAAGTGCGACGAACTCGTTTTGCGCTCCTGCTGTGCCTCTATTGCAAGGAGTTGCAGTAGCATGGCAAATATGGGTATTTTCGGAATAAGGGCGAAGAGACAAATGAAATGGGCATATTCTTAGGACAGTTGGAGTAAAAAGTGTAAGGACTATTGCATATTGTGAATAGAAGGGCGGGCCTAAGTCACGATGGCACATCGATAACTTTGCTTTACCCGCTCACGGTGTGTGTGATGCGAGCGGACCGAAGGCCCGGGCCTTCGATTGCCAAGTTGGGTCTGATGCGAGGGCCGAAGGCCCGAGAAAAGGCCACCGGCAGGCCAAGCTGGGCCGGCCCCCTGTCGAACCGAGTTGCCGGCGCAGCGAAGCGGAGCTGGCAACTCGGTTCGACGGAAGGGCGGGCCCTAGCTTGTTATTTCCGTTGAGTTTATCAATTTATCATCTTTGGTTCCCGAGCAATGAAGGTTTTAGTTATTAGTGTACAAATGTCATGGGCTGAACACATTCAACTGAGTGAATCGTGGAATCCCATAGCGAATGACAGTAGTGTCACATAGTGCCCAGATCAACAGTTTTACGGGAAACAGCAATAACGCTCAAAGTTTATGCCGTAGAGAATCGTGCCAAAGCTTATTTTGCGCTTAAAACATCAAAGAAGAACATCTTGCGGAGCATATGTCCTCAAAATGTATTTTAAAGGTAAAAAGCGGACGCGGCGGGAAATAGAAAAAGTTTCTAATGAGCTATTTTAAGACTATTTCCAATTCTGATCGCTACCATTCCCGTCCTTTTCGAAGGAGAGTCACGACCTACTGCACGTCGATTCTCCTTCATGATACCTTCCTTTGAGTCTTCTTACCGCTGTTGGATAACAAGCCGTTTGGGAAAAAAAGCCAAAGTCACATGGTGGCCGTGTCACATGGTACCCCACCTTCCCTTACATGGCTGGGTGAGGAAATATTCCTCACCCAAATTTGGGTGATAAAGAATTCCTCGCCCAAAATTTTAGAATGTAAATACCAAAGAAAAAACAAAATGTTTACAACATTTTCAAAATAAACAAATTTGTTTTGATTTCAGTTGTAAGGGAGTCATGGGAAATGCAACAAAAGCCGTCCTGACCTACAAAATTTCACTGCACGACCCTTTCTCCAGAAGCTCTTACATCTTTTTGGAACGAGAGCGTAAATTCTTGGTCAACACCCTCTCATCAAAATACAGTTTACACTGCCAATCCAAGTGTGAGACAGTCTCACACTTGTAGGACTGGGACATTTGGTATCACGTTTACAAGTGTGAGCCACGTTTGTCTCACGCCTGCAAGTGTGCCGTCAACGGGGGTAACTTGGGACACTTTTTCACGTTTTTTGAACGCCAGAGGTAAGATTTTCAACCTAGACCATTGGATCCTAACTATGTTAAAGTTAGACGAGAGGTGAATCACTGGTGTACTCTGTACAAATTTGCCAGTGTACTCACAAGTTTTACGAGGGCGAAATTGACTAGTTTTTCGACCGATTTGGCGCTAAGTGCCGTTTAAAACGGTAAATAAAACCTTCAAATGTTTACAAATGTGAAATTTATGAGAAAAGCAAGGCGTACTCACCCGTACTCATGTACTCATGTGTACACCAGAACGCAGAGTGATTCACCCCTCGAAGTTAGACCCTTTCCCCATGATTTCATGCTGGCCTGTTTCATTTGCTCTGCAAACTGAAGTGTGTACATAGTACACTCTTATTAGAGCATGCTCATAAGTGCACCCTTATTTACAGCATACTTGCTAGGCACACGCTAAAATAGAGTGTACATTGCATGTACACGTCAAATAAGAGTGAACCTGGCAAGTACACTTGAACTGGCCCATGCTTTAAGATAGGAGTAATCGAGTGTGCTTTAGCGTGTACTTGCAAGGTACACACTTATTTAGCGTGTGCTTGCCAGGCACACTCTATTTTGGCGTGTGCCTAGCAAGCTATTAATAAGAGTGTACTTGTAAGCATGCTCTAATAAGAGTGTACTATGTACACACTTCAGTATGCAGAGTGCCTCGATTATGTCGTTTACAAGCTGGCTCGAAAGAGTGTCCCAAATTACCCCATGACCGGGGGTAACTTGGGACAGTAGGTAATAACCTACATTCCCACGCATCTATAGATGTTAATGGATGTAATAAATTTTAGTCACAACATAATGACCAAGAATTCAGGCCTAGGAACTCTTGTGGGACCGATATAAGACTGTATCTAGGACTCTGCGAGGAACTTTCTTTTCTTCTGGTATTTTCCAGGCATTTTCTGAAATGTTCAAAACCAGAAGACAAAACTGCAGAGCAAGGCATCTCTTTCCATCATCAGCGTAACATACCAGGGACCGGGTCAGACAACTCATAGGACGCTAGGACTGCTGGAAACATGAGGAAAAGACTGTCCCAAGTTACCCTGTGAAATTTCGATTTTTGATAAGTTTGATGTTGTGAATTTACGACGGAATAATTTCCGAAGGTATTTAGGAATGCCCCAAAGTGCACTGTAAATGTTTCTTTCCTACAGGACTTTTTGTAAATCAACGGAAGTTCGTCGGTAATATCCGATGGTTCATAGTAAATTTACGACGGAAAATCGTCAATTTACAAAATCCCTTGGAAATTTACGGAGGGCTTCGTAAATTCACGACGGTTCCTCGTAAATCTACGACGGACCTTCGTAAATCAACGAAGGATATATTGGCAATTTTTTTGCCGAAGGATCCGTCGTTAATTCCAGACCTATAATTACGAAGGTTCTTTGTTTATTAACGAAGGTTCCCTGTAAATTTACGAAGAATCTTTGTAGATTTACGAGTGCTTCGTAAATTGTCATTGTGATTGTAAAATCGACAGAGGTCCTTCAAAAAATTTACGAAGGTTTTTGTTAATATACGAAGAACTTCGTAAATTAACAAAGGAACAGTTGGCAATCTTTTTGCCGAAGGATCCGTCGTTTATTCCGAACATAAATTTTACAGTGTAAGGGAGAGTGGAGTAATTCCGGACACGGGGTGATTCCGGACACTTTGATTTTCACTGGGCTTGAGTAAAGATTACTCAAAAGCCCGCCTAACAGCGGAAGATTATCAGTTAAAAATGATAATTCCAAATCGCCAAGGTAGGAGGTCAAACCGTTCGGCTGTGGTCGCTGCACGAAATTTGAGTACCATCAAAACTAGGTATAAGCTGGATCTTTACCTCGTATTTCCATGTACTTATCGTACCTTACTGTCAAGTTCAGTCCTTTGAATAAAATTTCATCATATTATATGGTCTTTGGACTTTACTTTGGCGTTTCGGGAGTGTTCGTGTGGCTCGTCGTTTTCTTACAATTGAACATCAAAGGTTTTCACTACCTGTGGGGTAAATCCGGACAAGAAGTGTCATTTTCTTCAATTTCCCGCATAATGTTAAGGTAGTGGGTTCAAAATTGTGGACATGCATCACCACCGTTAAGAAGGATAGAGAACGAACGAAAAATAGCATTGCAGCGATGTTTAAGAGCTTTACTCAAGACAGTGTTGTCAGTTTAGGGGTTTTAATAGAAACTATTCCTTTTAGTATGCTTTGAGTAATAATCAAACACTTGAGTTCGCAGCAAATGTCCTTGTACGCCTTCTAAAAGCATGCCTCACATCAAAATAAGCGAAAATAAGCTCGAGTACACTGAGAATGAAAGCGTCATGATCATGACTAAAATTTTGGGCGAGGAATTCTTTATGACCCAAATTTGGGCGAGGAAAGTTTTCTCACCCAGATTTGGGCGAGGAAAGTTTCCTCACCCAAATTTGGGCGAGGAAGCCTTCCTCGCCCAAATTCGGGTGATAAAGTATACCTCGCCCAAAATTGGGTATTGATCATGACTTTTTCATTCCCAGTGTAGTGTCAAATCATAAGGTCGTCCGGAATTGCCCCATTGGTCGTCGTCGTCCAGAATTACCCCAGCCTGGGGTAATTCCGGACACGTGCATGCAGGGCTTTTGTTTGGCGCCTATATCTCCCTAACCAATGCTGACATTTGGCTTTCATGTATATCATTTTGAAGGTAAAGGTCCATACTTTACTCTCCTGTAATAACATTTGACCCAAGAAGCATTTTCAAGCTCAAAGAGCAAAAAAAAAATGCCGGAATTACCCCACACTCCCTTAGGAATCCACTAAAAGCCCAAAGACGTTCTGCACCGAGTAGATCCATGCTGAGTAGTTTACCTTTCTGGGATGGGTAGTACTCTCTCTGGTAAAGGCGGTATGCTTTCGAGTGTGCCAGGATCGTGTTGTGCATGCATCGATGGATGTTGACGTCCGAAGCCTTGACCAGACCGCTGAGCGCGAAAAGCATGTTAAAATACATGCAGTACTGGTTCGGCTCATTTATAGTGGTCCACAGCGACACCTAAAAGCAAGGCTTTTCTGAGATCTACTTGTTCGATATATAGTACAAAGCGAAGAATCACCGTAAAAATTCGGATTGTCACTGGGTGTGTGCGCACTACTCCTCACAGTTAAAACTCTACGAAGAATCGCTTCGTATTACGAAGAAAATGAAGGCATTGTAAAATCTACGAAGAAATGCTTCGTATTATGAAGCAAAATCCTACGTAATACGAAGCATTTCTTCACAATACAAAGCGATTCTACAATGCCTTCATTTTATTTGCAGTTATGAAGCAAATGCTTCGTAGGCTTTTAAGAGTGCTCCTGAACGGCCAGCTGATCTGGCTGAGTTTTTGCAGGGTTATTAGGTATGTTCTTGGCTCACCACACCCCAAAAATTCAGCTTCCTATCTCAATCCTTTTTGTCATTTCAGCCAAAAAACACTTAAAAACGGCGGAAAAAAGACAACTTTTTAGGTACTTTTGACTTTTTGTCAATTTCATGTTGTTTTCTATGTTTTGAGGCTGCTGATGACAAAAATAGAACCGAGGGGGAACAGCTTCCCACATTCGTTGACGAAATTTGACCACATTCCACATTCAGGTGGCAAAAACGCCTGTAAGTAGGCAACATATGTGGAAAAAACGTCAGAAATCTTGCAAATTCTTGCACATTCACACAATCATTGTACAAAAAATTTTTGCAGTGAGTCACCCCTCGAATAGAACCCATTCGGACCCCCGACCCAAAGTTAAGTCCCACCGTCAACGGGTTAACTTGGGACAGTCTGCCCTGTACAGCTTGTTGGTGCTGCCATTCAGCGACGGGGGTTCCTAGCGTCAAACCCGCAGCAGGGGTTTTTTTTCAGAGGCCTCAGGGCACGCGCAGAAAGGTGGAAGAGGTGCATAACATACAATTAGTATTTGGGAAGCGGGAAACTAAGGGTTTTTGACAAAATACGTCAATAATTGGCAAGTTGACCCTAGTGCAAGGAGTGAAATGCAGATTTGGCCGATTAGTCTCTCGGGTTGTTAGATCATAGACAATAACGTTTGCAAAAGGGCGTTGATTTGTTTTCCCATCTTCGGGCCAGAGTTCAATTCATCAAAAATCGAAATTTTACGGGGGAACTTGGGACAGTCTTTTCCTCATGTTTCCAGCAGTCCTAGCCTTCTGGGGTTGACTAACCCGGTCCCTGTCATAACTTAAACTTCGGATTTTACGCTGATGATGGAAAGAGATGCCTTGCTCTGCAGTTTTGCCTTCTGGTAACCATATTTTGAAATTTTCAGAAAATGCTTGGATAATACCCAGCAGAAAAGAGAGCTCCACGTGGAGCCCTAGATATAGTCCAATATCGGCCCTACACTAGTTCCTAGGCCTTAATTCTTGGTCTTGTGACTTAAAAAATCAATAGATGCATGGGAATGTAGGTATTACCTACTGTCCCAAGTTTCCCCCGGGCATGGGTAACTTTGGGGCACTCTTTCGAGACCGCTGGGAAACGATATAATCGAGGCTTATGAACCAGACAAGCATGAAATCGGGGTAGGGTCAAACTTTAACATAGTTAGGATCCATCGGCCTGGGTTGAGAATCTTGCCTCTGGCGTTCAGAAAACGCGAAGAAGTATCCCAAGCTACCTCCGTTGACGGTAGTGTATATTTTGATGACCAAATGGGCGATTCTATGCCAAACCAACGAACTCTTGGATTTTCATGTCTTCGATTTGGATGAAACTTTTTTTAGGGGTAGGGGTCATTATGAAAAGATCCAATTTCGAAGGGTTTTGCGATATCTATCTGAAAGTTTTCAGATTTGTTCCGAGAGTGGCTCTTTACGTAAAAAGAGCTGGGGAACACGATGGAAATAGTTACGTGACGATTGGGTGAAGTTTTGATGTCGGTTTCCCCATTTAAGGTAATTTTTTTCCCGAAAAATCGATGTCTTCCAATTAGCTTGTCTTCGATGACTTTCCTAACATGATCCTCTTACATATTGAAAGAAAATCCTAAAAGGACTTGGTCGGCCCACCGTAAGTTTTCTATTTGCATAAGAAAAGATGTACCATTTTGGGCGTTTTTCTTGAATTTTCGAACCAACTTTCTGAGTACGCGTCCAAGCTTATGTCCCGTGAGGAAATAAATTTTGTCTTGTCGAGACGAATCCATTGATATATAGAAAAGTCATTTTGGACAATTTTGAAAATTGCACCCTATTTCAGTATGAGAAAAACTAGGGTAAATTTTCAAAATTGTCCAAAATGACTTTTCTATATACCAATGGATTCGTCTCGACAAGACAAAATTTATTTCCTCACGCGACATAAAGCTTGGATGCAAACTCAGAATGTTGGTTCGAAAATTCAAGAAAAACGCCCGCAATGATACATCTTTTCTTGTGCAAATAAAAAACGTACGGTGGGCCGACCAAGTCCTTTTCGGATTTTCTTTCAATATGTAAGAGGATCATGTTAGGAAAGTCATCAAAGACGAGCTATTTGGAAGACATCGATTTTTCGAACAAAAATTACGTTAAATGGGGAAACCGACATCAAAACTTCACCCAATCGTCACGAAACTATTTCCATCGTTTTCCCAAGCTCTTTTTACGTAAAGAACCGCTCTCGGAACAAGTCTGAAAACTTTCAGTAAGTACGGAGAAAAATAAAGAAAATATCATGATTCTGACCAAAGTGAAAACTTCGCTATGGTATAACATCCAAACGGGGAGAGATATCGCAAAACCCTTTGATATTGGATCTTTACATAATGACCCCTACCCCTAAACAAAATTTCATCCAAATCGAAGAGATGAATTTCCCAGAGTTCGTTGGTTTCACTGCAATGCCAAAGTTTACTTGCCACAAATTTGGCAAGCCGTTTTGAATGCCAAACATTAGCAAGCTAGGCCCGAAAATACTCCCCAGCTTGCCAAAATTTGGCAAGCTTATGACCAGCAAGCTTAGCCGACCAAAGCTTGCCAAATTTTGGCATTCCAAACGGCTTGCCAAATTTCTGGCAAGCAAACTTACCACTGGCTTTGCAGTGTTGGCATGGAATCGCCCAAATGCTATTTTTTGAGGGGATCACGCTCATTTCTACGGTCTGCCTAGCCGAGCAGCCTGCCGAAGGCCGGCTACCGCCGCAGGCCAAGTACACGCCAGGCGTGGATTGTCCAAACTGGCGCAGCATCGTGGCCTGTTACGACAAGACACGGTCTGGCGTACACGTACCTTGTATGCTTTAATTGAGCAGAAAATTGCAAACGATGCTGTTTCCGCACAAATTACATCATTAAGGGCGATAACAAGAATTTTGTTCTTCAACGACAAATTGCCGCTTCCTAGATTCAAGGACAATTGTTTCACTTTTGTTCATGACGAAATTCTGTGTTTTGGAACTCATCTGATTGTTTCTGTACAACAGTTTTTGACAGTGTATTGTACCCAAGAAGTTGCGCGGCGAAATGAAAAACAAAAACTTGTTTCGATGAATGACATTCCGCATCAATCGATCTCAGCGTTCCATTGCTATCGATGTTCCGTCCTTTTCGCTGCTCGTCGTCGGTAAAGTGAAGCGCCCTTACCTCATTGCCGTACTCCTTGAAAACGTAGTCCGCGTATGCGACAAACTTCTCAATCATCTTGTCACTTTCCCAACCGAAAAATTCATCCTGCAAACTTTGAGGATGGTCGAAGTGGTACAGCGTTACCTACATGGAAACGATGTGAGTATACTGCAAATAGCATGGATAGACTTCGCGCCTCTTTTTGAGTAAAAATGACGGTAAATCCTGCTATGGTAATCATTATTCACTGCATCCGCACGGCAAAAACTTTGTCGTGTTTTACAAGGACCGGTCACCTCAGCTAAGGGTCTTGGCCCCTGGTCCTTAGGTAAACCCGTCCGGCTAAGGTAGCTTCTTAGCCAAGCGTTTGTTTACATGTCCGCCATGTTGAGCCCATAACCTAATTACCGATGCTTCACACTCAATAAACGAATTTAACCGAGTAAAGGTAGTTAAAGTTTCAGAAAATACCAAGGTAAAATGTGCGATTTTTCCATTTCGAGTGCTCGTTTGCCTCTGGGTGATCTGGTTCATTCACGTTCGTGAAATATGTGGTCGGCTGAGGGAGCGCCGTAGCGTAAACATAATCCAAATTTCTCTCAGCAATCCTTCCTTCTTTTTGAAAAGCGAGTACAGAATCGGGTTTAGCTTTAAATTTTACGTAAGCAAACATGTTACGTTGTATTTTAATGGCTATTTTCTGCATTCCTACAATTGGCAAATTTGAGGTTAAAAATGGCGGACGTGAAAACGAACGCGCTGGGCTAGTTAGGCTAAGAAGCTACCTTAGCCAGAGGGTTCTCCCTAAGGATCAGCCACCAAGACCCTTAGCTGAGGTGACCGGTCCTTATAAAACACGACAAAGTTTTTACCGTGGCGGGAAACCGTGACTCGTGGGACGCACACTTCGTTTATCATCATAGATTTTGTTAAAAGAATAATTGATACCCGAAGCAGGTTTACTGAGACTAAAGGAAACGGGGCTGATTTGGCGGGCCTTGGCTGCGGCGATGCGTGCACGGCCGTTTTCGCCGTTTTTACCGCGTTAGTTGGTAAACCACTTTCCAGCTGAAGTTATCGTCTTACCGACAAAACCTCAACGGGTACTTAAAGAGTAAGGTGGAAGGATCAGCAAATTAGCTCCTTGGGCCGAATTGATACTTACAAAATGAGATATTCGCATTTTTGTAGCATGTTTACATTTTTTTTCGCCGTTTTCACGGCAGAATCGCCGCGTTCGAACGCGGACGAACCAATTAAAACAAGTTACAAACATGTCCATGACTCGTCCTGTGGGTATCAAATCTTCAAAACGGGCATTTTCCCGAAGAGACAACATTACTCTAAAAGTACACGTACAGGATTTGTGCATAAGATGTTTACTTCAGCTAGAAAGTGAATTTCTAGGAACCACGAAAAAACAACAAACAACGGCCGTGCACGCATCGCCGCAGCCATGGCCCGCCAAATGAAACCCGTTTCCACCCCCTGCTAAAATTCATGTCTTACCATTGGAGTCATACCATTGTCCTTGATCTCCTTGATCAAGTCGTGGTAGAATTGCCGACCTTCCGGATTTACTTCAGATGGATTAGAAGTTGGGAGAAGGCGAGCCCATGATATGGAGAATCGGTACAGATTGAGCTGGTAACATCATTATCAGAGTCGTGTCAGAAATTGGCTTATAACGCACATGGCTTTTGTGCAAGTAGCTTAAACCAACAAATTTCCAAAGTCTTGGACAAGAAACGACTAAAGAAAATTAATTCCCAATTTAAATAGGAAACCACTTTCATGAACCAGACCTCTCATCAAATTTAAGGGGGTTTATTTTTTTTTCTTGATCTCAAAAACTTATTTTTGGCTGAGCGATAGCGAACCCTGTTACTCCAGTGCGGTTGAAAAGCCTTTTCTGTACTCTACAAATCAAAGAGTGTACTAGCTGCTTAACTGAGCATGCCTGCAAGCACGCTCTAGCTAGCGCATGCCTGCCAAGCATGCACTAACTATCATACATGCCATGCTCAGCATTCTGATGCAGGAAACCCTAACTACTGCAGTAAATGTACGCTTCAGTTTCTGCAGGCATGATGGACATTAGTGCTGCTTGGCAGGCATGCGCGTTAGGGGGCTTGCAGGCATCTCCAGTTAGAGCGTACATGTAACTCTTGATTTTAGAGTCTCTGTCTGTGTGTGTGTGTGTGTGTGTGTACACTACTCCTCCTGAACGGCTCGGCCGATCTGGCTGAGATTTTGGGCTCGGCACACGCGAAATTTCACTATCATAGCTCACGTGGTTCAGCATTTATAGCCGAAAACTAAAAACGGCGAAAAATCGAGTCTTCTGCAGGCAGATACTTATGTCTTGAAGGGAGGGGGTCAGGGGACGGAGGCCCCAGCCTCGAGAATGTTACAAAAGTTACAAGGGTCAAGATCGTGATATCTGTTGATGAAACACCCTACTAGAATAAAGTGGGGGTCTGGGGGCGGAGCCCCCCAGTTGCAACAAGTAGAAGTCACCGACGATGGACAAGCAATGCCTGCCGAAGCAGGCTAGCGCCGCAGGCCAAGATAGTACGCCAGGCGCGGATTGGAGGAACAGGCCGCGAGACATCGCGAAGCCTGTTACGACAAGACGCGGTGTGGCGTAAACCTACCTTGTTGAGAAAATGTGAGAAAGTATCTTTTTGTTGGTCCTAGTTCAGTCAGGGCACAGACTTGGCTTGGGAGCTGGGTTAGTTCGTCAAAATGTGGAAATTTTAAAATCAAAGATGTTTAGCTCAATTACCACCTGCACGGACTTCCTATCAGCAAATACCCCAAACAAAAAACACCTTCAGAGAAAGGCATGTACATGTTTTCAGTCAAAATTTTTGACTTCTTGTACCACATATAGCGCCGGAAAGGTACAAAAAATGGCCGTTTTGTCGGTGTCCGAATACCCGATTGAAACACAATGTGAAGTCTAATTCCTTATAACGCCGTTAAAACACCCAAAGTTTTGTGTGCTTTCGAGAGTGGACACTTTAGTCTATATTTTAACCTAAGTCCCGAAACGTTGAGTTGATTCGTTCGTTCGTAAAGTGGAAGAAAAGTTTTGTCCGCAAATTGCGTCACTTGTTACCGGCATTTGTACACTGTGCGAAAAAAACACAGTGAATCCCGTTAATTTTTTTGCCGGGATTTACTGTAGTTCAGAACACAGGATTTACCGTGCCTGGCTACAGTATCTACTGTACCTGGTACAGGATATTCCGTACTCCACTCCTGTGGTACAGTAAATCCCGTACAAAGTACAGTAGATCCTGTTATAAAAGTACAGTAAATGCTGTACTCTGAACTACAGTGACAGCTGTACTAATCACTACAGGATTTACTGTGATTTTTTCCCACAGTGTATTTCGCGGCTCTGAGCGTGTTTTGTGCCTGCACCGAACCAAGTGCCAACCCTATTCGGCTTCGAAATTGATATTAAACAAAACTGCAACGGTGGAAATACTTCTACAGGAGTATGGTAGGTTCAAAACAAGTATAATAGGTCGCTTTTCCGTAACTCGCTATCATAAACCTGTAAACGCCAATGCGTAATTTCGACCTCCCCCGGATAATTATTTTCAAATACTGGGACAAATACTGGGAATCATGTTTGCCGCTTCATTTGACCTATTTACACCATACAGCGTCTGTTACGTACAAGCAAATTTGGTATTTCCTTGCGAAATAGATGGTTTTTATAAAGTGTTATGATGTAATCGGATGTAATCAGCCAGGACCCCGGCGTCGACGCCTGTTACTGCACTTTTGAAGCTTAAATACTTGTTTATTTCGAATCCAAGCCTATTACATATGTTAGGATTTTTTGTTTGTCCTGATCAGACGAATCGATTTCTATAAATAGATGTCAGTTTTGTCCACTTTGAAATTCCACCCAAACCCTTTGAATGTAACGAACGTCGACGCGCGTTTAACAAACGTCGACCCAAAGTACGCTTTCAACATTTAAGCCATTTGAAACAAAACTGGAACGAATTAAGCTTTGATATTTCTTGGGGACCATTCTAGAGCCATCATGAATGAGCCTGCAAAATTTCATCCGAAAAGCCGCACATTAAAATCTTGGAAATCCCGTGCCTCAAATTCCCACATCTCGGCGAACCAACCCAGCTATGCAAGAAAACGTTAACTTCATTCCGTAAGCTTAGTCTGAAGGACTTCAGCGGTGAAATCACTCATAGGTAGCCTGGGTGTATCAGAATGGGATAAACAATGAACCCAAGGTAGAAATAGTGGTCTGATGTACGTATCTTCTATTTCCTTATTTGTGTTTTGAGTGTTCCTTACTTGTGTTTTAAGTGTTCCTTACTTGTGTTTTGAGTGTTCCTTACTTGTGTTTTGAGTGTTTTCAGCCTGTCAGGATCGTGTTTAAAGAGCCAAGTCATTGTACGTTCACTTAACAAGTGGAATCGTAATCAAACCGTGTCGCTAATTTGACCCTGATTTGGCTCTTCGAAACATAATCCTGACAGGCTGAAAGAACTCAAACCACAAGTATACTAGGACCAAGAAAGAGAACTTCCTCAATTATTTTTCAACTTTTTTTAAAAAATATGTTTTTAAGATCTAGAAAAAAAAGTTCAAGTTTGTTCAAACAGTGAAAGTTTTTCAAAATTCTTGAAAACAAATCTGAAATGTTTTCTTTATGCCGCCCAAGACCTGGAAAAAATTTCAAGTCCCTAGGTCAAGCCCTTTCGATCGATTTGGACCTGCAAAGTTAACTTTTACCAAAAAGTCGCTAAACACAATATGGCCCACTGCTCCGGACAGGGTCGACCTAGGACCTTCAAACCTTGTGCGCATCTTTCTCTACCCTAGGGGTACATGTGGTAAAATTTTGGTCCAAATCGGTGACACCAAAATAAATCTTGTGCTCCAAAAATATGGAATCACTCCCCTTGACTGTTATGGAGGTTTACGTAAACTTTCAGTCGTTTCTTCCAAATTCTCCTCACGACAGAAGATTACCTTCCCAGTCTTTAGATTCTGGCAATTTCATTTATTTTGGCATAGGAAAAAGAAAGCATTGGCAGGTTTAAGGTTACTGTAAGGTGAAAAAACTATCTCTCAAAGTATAGGTGGCAATGCTTTGGTTTTTGGTGATTTAGTTCCTTACTATGAAAAACTTTTACAGCCACAGACTGGACTCCCAACTCCCATTAGTTCCAAAGTTATGAGGGTTTTAGTGTTATTTTAGTCGTTTACTAAAAATTTTCCTTGCGAAGAACCAAAAAGTTTACGGATGTGTGATTTTTTATTTTAAGGCCCAATCGACATGCAAACAGACAAGCAAAGCCGGATTTGACAATATATGCATAGATTAGCTGTAATTTCTGTTTGGAAAATGCGTTTTGAATTTTTCACTTAAATTTGGTAAAATTTTGGTATTTTTTGGTGTTTTCTTGTGTTTTTTGAGAAAAATTCCTGTTTTATGTTGGAATTTTGGAAATCCGGCTTTGCTACGAGATAGGCAAATCAATAAAGAACTCGTAAAACAAAAATCAAGTCTTGACAACTTTTGGTTCATCGCAAGGAGAAGTTTTAGTAAACGACTAAAGTTGTTACGTAAACTTCAATAACTCAGAAAATAATGGGAGTTGAGTGCCTCAACTTTGGGTTTAAGTTCATCTTATAGTCAGCAACTAGAAACCTAAATACAAACATGATGCCACAATTACTATTTTGAAAAATGATATTTCACATTTTTTTACTTTACAGTAACCTTAAAGATATCAGTCGAGAAGAGGCTGTACCAGCTATCTGTTTTACCAGGCTTTTTTATACTTTACTTCAAATTTGAGAGATATTGCCACATTTTGGTCTTGTTTTTTTTTGGTTTTTCAAGAAAACTAAGGCAGATATTTAAAAAAGGTCAACGCTATCTTTTTCCTATTCAAAAAGAGATAAAATTGCCAGAATCTGAAGACAGGGTAGCTAATCCTTTGTTGTGAGGAGAATTTGAGAGAAATGACTGCAAGTCAACGTGATTTTCCATAACTCAGAAACTAATATGAGTTAAGGCCACCCCTACTTCTAATTTAAGTCTTTTAAAACTGTCAAATCGCCACTTTTTTCACTTTAAAATAACCCTAAAAATAGGCTGTTTTTGCCCACAAATAATTTTTTGAACCAATTGTGTGTCAGCAGTTTTTAACGCTACCCGCACACCAAGCCTTGTACGATTTTCGCCGAGCTTTTGTTGACTTATACACTGAAAACCAAAAAGTGATCTGTATTTTCATACTGCACTTAGTTAGCATTATTCACTACAGTTTAGGCGCTATAGTTTGAGACTGCAGTTGGGACTTAGGGTCAGGGCGGAGAAGAACTGCACAGGGGAAGAACGGGACACCCCATTTATAACTTCAAATAACGTACACTCTCAGCATTTTACTGACTTTTTCTCATTAGCTTACGCATTTCTGTAAGCAACCATAATACTTAGTATTTTTTGTCAGTATAACTTAGCAATAGCTAATTACTGTACTGATATTACCGTTTTCTTAGTAAATTACAAAGAAATTTTTAAGTATTTAAGAACTAAATACTAAGTATTATGGTTGCCTACAGAAATACGTCTGCCAATGAGAAATAGTCAGTAAACGGCTGAGAGTGTATGCACGGGCATAACGACCGTCAAAAGTTGTTCCGTGGCATCAGCGGTTTATAACATGACAGTTCTTAAGCCTGTACATACGGCATTTGAAGTAAAATATGGGATGTTCAGTTCTTCCCCTGTCCAGTTTTCCCCCGCACTGACCCTAGTAAGAACTGCAGTCCTTTCCACCCGGGTTACTGTGTCAAGGGATCCTATTCAAAAGATATCACCTGGGCGTTCCCCCCCTGAGAATCTTATCTTAAACGCAGGTGAAGTTCTGTCAGTTTGATCATTTGAGACGGATGCGAGAGTAAGCGGAAAATCTTTCTACATGCACTGCCAGGTGTCTTTGATCCTTTATCTCCAGGTTAAAGCGAATTAAATCACAAATACAATATTGATTTGAAGCTGTATTAAATGATCGAATTAAGTGAAATTCGCCTGCGTTTAAGATAAGATTCTTTTGAGGGAACGCCTAGATAAGATCTTTTGTGTAGGACCAATCGATGTATACCTTCAACTCTTTAGCTTTCGCCACATCTTCTTTAAATCGGTGGTAGGAGTTAGCAGCCACGTCATGAGACTCACGAAAATTCATTAAAGTTTTCAGCTGTTCGGAATGAAGGAGGCGGTCGGCGACACTCTCAACTTTCCCTGGACAAAACAAAAAGACAACAGGGAATCAAGAGAAGTTTTTGGTGTCGTAACAGTACTTGTGACGGAGTTCTCTCTCATTCCAGGAACGTGACGTCACATTCAAACGAATGCGACATGTCCCGTTCGTTTGAGTACAGTGCCACTTTCCGTTCGAGGGGTGAATCACTCAGCGGTGTACATACATATGAATGCCCGCACATCAGTGCGGGTAAATTAGCTAAATTAGCCGAAGTCACATTCAAACGAATGTGACACAATTCTCTCAGGAACGTGTTATTTTTTAAAATATGCATTTCAACGTGATGTCACGTTCCCGGATTGGTCCTTACAATCTATACACTGTAAATATTATGTTGTGAATTTCCGACGGATTTTTTTACGAAGGTTTTAGGGAATGTCCAAAAGTGCACTGTAAATGTTCCTTTCCTACAGGAACTTTCGAAAATCAACGGAAGTTCGTCGTTAATTTACGAAGGTTCAAAGTAAATTTACGAAGGAAAATCGTAAATTTACAAAGTCTGTTGTAAGTTTACGAAGGGCTTCGTAAATTTACGACGGTCTTCGTTTATCTACGACGGCCCTTCGTAAATCTAAGGGAGGGTGGGGCACCATGACCACTGGGGCACCATGACCACCCCCCTCGCTCTCGGGAACTACTTTGCCGACGGCAACCGGTCGACCGGACTTTCGAGAGAATAGAATTCTAACTATTTTCAGCCAGAGCCCTACCTTCTAGCTTCAAGGGTACGACCATAGCACCTCGCCAAAATTTTTGTTACAGCGTTTTGGCTAAAATTGGGCGTTTTTCAAATCTGGGATATTTTTTCTCACTCTCACATTTGAGAAGATAGGTTCGATGTCTTAGGTTTTCCTCAAAATGTCGGCTCTTCGGCAAAATATCCAACATCACATTTAATTCTAAGTAGTTGTTTGCTTGCTCGGGGAGCCTTAGAATCGTAAACTGCACTGTGGGGCACCATGACCACTTTTTAGTGGGGCACCATGACCACACATATTTGAGTGTTTTTTCTCATATTTTGGCCTGATAATGATTTATTTTCGTCGAAAATTTGCTTTTTGCTTCTGAAAATGTATAAAGGTTGAATAATTGCTGCAGAATAGATAGTTTTATCACAAATTTGTGATAATTTGTGAATCACCAAGATGATTAAGAATGGTTCTGAAACTGAGACTTGATATGGTGGTTTCTCTTGCACTAAATGAGCTCCAAACCGCAAAAGTTGGCCGCGAAGGCGATCCGTGGCTACTTTGCACCAAGATGGCACTGGCATTATGAGAAACAGCATTTAATTCACTTGTTTGCAGTGTAGTAACCGCGATAATTTTCTTAAAATTTACCAAATTGAAATCTGCATACGAATTTGGACTCGTCTTAGCAAGACGAACATAAAATGTTAACACATGTCATAGCTTTGGATGTGAAATTTGAAAGCCTTAGAGCGTTAACTGTTTTAAACCGTCCATTTCAAGGCATCTTAGAACGTTTGATACTTCGAAGGTTTTTACAGTGTTTTTTAGTTTAGTTGACTGGCCTGATGGTAATGACAGCGATATTAACAATTTCAATGAGAATACTGGTAGAAAGTACACTTTTTTGGGCCAAAAAATTACTATGGTCATGGTGCCCCACGGGGTGGTCATGGTGCCCCATAGGTGGGGCACCATGACCACTTTGCGTTTTATTTTCCAAAGTGTTCTGTGAGCCTGCCGTGCATTGCAGACAAGTTCCAATGGGTGGAAGAGGTCCTTGGAGGTCCAAGAATCCCTCATGCTAGAAAAATTAACTGTTCGAACCACACGGTGGAGTAGAGGGAGGCACAAAAAAAAGTGGTCATGGTGCCCCACCCTCCCTTACGACGGACCTTCGTAAATAAACGAAGGCTGTGGCAATTTTTTTTTCCAAGGTCCCCGTTTTGGAAATTTTAAAATCAAAGATTTTAGCTCATTACCACCTGCCGGACTTCCTATCAGCAAATACCCCAAACAAAAAACCCTTCAGAGAAAGGCATGTACATTTTTCAGTCAAATTTTTGACTTCTTGTACCACATATAGCCCCGGAAAGGTACAAAAAATGGCCGTTTTGTCGGTGTCCGAATACCCGTTTGAAACCAATGTGAATCTAATTCCTTAAAACGCCTTTAAAACACCCAAAGTTTTGTGTGTTTTCGAGAGTGGACACTTTAGTCTATATTTTAACCTAAGTCCCAAAACGTTGAGTTGATTCGTTCGTTCGAAAAGTGGAAGAAAAGTTTTGTCCGCAAATTGCGTCACTTGTTACCGGCTTTGTACACTGTGCAAAAAAAACACAGTGAATCCCGTTAATTTTTTTGCCGGGTTTTACTGTAGTTCAGAACACAGGATTTACCGTGCCTGGCTACAGTATCTACTGTACCTGGTACGGGATATTCCGTACTCCACTCCTGTGGTACAGTAAATCCCGTACAAAGTACAGTAGATCCTGTTATAAAAGTACAGTAAATGCTGTACTCTGAACTACAGTGACAGCTGTACTAATCACTACAGGATTTACTGTGATTTTTTCCCACAGTGTATTTCGCGGCTCTGAGCGTTTTTTGTGCCTGCACCGAACCAAGTGCCAACCCTATTCGGCTTCGAAATTGATATTAACAAAACTGCAACGGTGGAAATACTTCTACAGGAGTATGGTAGGTTAAAAACAAGTAAAATAGGTCGCTTTTCCGTAACTCGCTATCAAAAACCTGTAAACGCCAATGCGTAATTTCGACCCCCCCCCGGAAAATTTTTTCAAATACTGGGACAAATACGGGGAATCATGTTTGCCGCTTCATTTGACCTTTTTACACCATCAGCGTCTGTTACGTACAAGCAAATTTGGTATTTCCTTGCGAAATAGATGGTTTTTATAAAGTGTAATGATGTAATGGGATGTAATCAGCCGGGACCCCCGGCGTCGCGCCTGTTACTGCACTTTTGAAGCTTAAATACTTTTTTATTTCAAACCCAAAGCCTATTACTATGTTGGGATTTTTTGTTTGTCCTGATCAGACGAATCGTTTTCTATAAATAGATGTCAGTTTTGTCCACTTTAAAATTCCACCCAAACCCTTTGAATGTAACGAACGTCGACGCGCTTTTAAACAAACGTCGACCCAAAGTAGCTTTCAACATTTAACCATTTGAAACAAACTGGAACGAATTAAGCTTTGATATTTTTTGGGGGACCATTCTAGAGCCATCATGAATGAGCCTGAAAAATTTTCATCCGAAAGCCGCACTTTAAAAATTTTGGAAATCCCGTGCCTCAAATTCCCCCATCTCGGCAAACCCAACCCAGCTATGCAAAAAAACGTTAACTTCATTCCGAAAGCTTAGTCTAAGGACTTCAGCGGTGAAATCACTCATAGGTAGCCTGGGTGTATCAGAATGGGAAAAACAATGAACCCAAGGTAGAAATAGTGGTCTGATGTACGTATCTTCTATTTCCTTATTTGTGTTTTGAGTGTTCCTTACTTGTGTTTTAAGGTTCCTTATTTGTGTTTTGAGTGTTCCTTACTTGTGTTTTGAGTGTTTTCAGCCTGTCAGGATCGTTTTTAAAGAGCCAAGTCATTGTATTCACTTAACAAGGGGAATCGTAATCAAACCGTGTCGCTAATTTGACCCTGATTTGGCTCTTCGAAACAAATCCTGACAGGCTAAAAGAACTAAAACCACAAGTATACTAGGACCAAGAAAGAACTTCCTCAATTTTTTTAAACTTTTTTTAAAAATATTTTTTAAGATCTAAAAAAAAGTTCAATTTTGTTCAAACAGTGAAAGTTTTTAAAAAATTCTTGAAAAAAAATCGAAATGTTTTCTTTATGCCGCCCAAGACCGGGAAAAAAATTTCAAGTCCCTAGGTAAAGCCCTTTCGATCGATTTGGACCTGCAAAGTTAATTTTTACCAAAAATCGCTAAACACAATATGGCCCACTGCCCCGGGAAAGGGTCGACCTAGGACCTTAAAACCCTTGTGCGCATCTTTCTCTACCCTAGGGGTACATGTGGTAAATTTTGGTCCAAATCGGTGACACCAAAATAAATTTGTGCTCCAAAAATGGAATCACTCCCCTTGACTGTTATGGAGGTTTACGTAAACTTTCAGTCGTTTTTTCCCAAAATTCTCCTCACGACAGAAGATTACCTTCCCAGTCTTTAGATTCTGGCAATTTCATTTATTTTGGCATAGGAAAAAGAAAGCATTGGCGGGTTTTAAGGTTACTGTAAGGTAAAAAAAACTATCTCTCAAAGTATAGGTGGCAATGTTTTGGTTTTTGGTGATTTATTTCCTTACTATAAAAAACTTTTACAGCCCAGACTGGACTCCCAACTCCCATTAGTTCCAAAGTTATGGGGGTTTTAGTTTATTTTAGTCGTTTACTAAAATTTTCCTTGCGAAGAACCAAAAAGTTTACGGATGTGTGTTTTTTTATTTTAACCCCAATCGACATGCAAACAGACAAGCAAACCCGGATTTGACAATATATGCATAGATTAGCTGTAATTTCTGTTTGGAAAATGCGTTTTGAATTTTTCATTTAAAATTTTGGAAAAATTTTTGGTTTTTTTTTGGTGTTTTCTTGTGTTTTTTGAAAAAAATTCCTGTTTTATGTTGGAATTTTGGAAATCCGGCTTTGCTACAGATAGGCAAATCAATAAAGAACTCGTAAAACAAAAATCAAGTCTTGAAACTTTTGGTTCATCCAAAGGAAATTTTAGTCCTAAATTGTTAGTAAACTTAATAACTAAAAAATAATATTGATGCCCAATTTTTGGGTTTAATTCATCTTAAGTCAGCAACTAGAAACCTTTACTTAAAATTTGAGAGATATTGCCACATTTTGGTCTTTTTTTTTTTTTTGTTTTTCAAGAAACAAAGGCAGATTTTTAAAAAAAAGGTCAACGCTATCTTTTTCCTATTAAAAAAGAGATAAAATTGCCAGAATCTGAAGACGGGGTAGCTAATCCTTTGTTG